TTCGATCCTTCAAATCTTCTAAAAGGCGTTTGTCTTTTTCTTGGGGTTGAGACACTGTCATCCACTGATTAATGAGTGGGTCCTCGAGCTCTTTAATTTTCTCCTTTTCTTTTTTCTCCTCCTTCTTCTTGTGCTCTTCCACTAGTCGCTCCAATACGTTCCATTTACTCGACAAATCTTCATCCATTATCGACTGTACCTGTTTCATGTTACGCATGGCTACCCTTATGCTCCTAGATCTGTCGGCTTTCTCATCGTCGTCGGAACTACTGTCAGATGAACTGGAACTACTGCTGGAGTCTGTTACTTGTTTCTTACGCTTCTTGGAGCGTTTCTTTTTTTTCTTTTCTTTAATTGCAAATAAGTCGCTGAGACGTTTCTCCTTATGCTTCTTCTTTTTCTTATTGCTATCCGAGTCCGATGAGTCTTGAACGCCGTTCCTAGCCATCGCTCTTTCTCTGTCTTTTAGCCACTCCATTTCCCAGTGTGGATTTTGCACAACAAAATTCTGAAATACAGAACGAACCAGTATTGACATCAAAATGAAAAGCGAATTGATTTAAAAAATATAACAAAACTGTCGGGTTTCCGTAGGGTGTGGCGTAAATTAATTATTAGTGCCCCTACAAATTGTTACCAGACAATTTTGCATATCGGATATACGCAACTTTACACAAAAATGCAAATGTCACTTACCTCGTAATTCTGATAGTGTGTTTTAGATTTTAAATGGTGCGACGCACAGTGTAAATCCCCAATCCATACATCGCACAATTTACAGTACCAAGATGGGGCAGATATAAAAAACTGCAAACCTATAAATGGAGATTACATAATAAAAATATGTGAAATTTCAGAGACGGATGACATTTTTTTTTATCTTTAATTGGAGTAGCTAAGTTTGTTAAAATTCTGATACATAAAATTACTACTATTTATCAATTTATCTATTTACAATTATTATGAAACAATACAATCACGCTAATATGACCAGTGTATGCCGCAAACTTACCTTTAATAGGAATTCTTTTCTTTGGCGCATTTTCATCCGATGGTAAAATGGGCTCAAGTGGCAATTTGTGCCATGGTGTATTGTCCACATCGTTCTCCTTAGCCATTGTCCGGTGTTTCTTGTCTTGAAGGTGCAAAAGGAAATCCTTTGCCGTTTCCGGAAATTCGTCGCATAACCAACACCAGTGTAAGCCTGTATCGTAATGTACATAGCAATATTTTTCTATTGCCGACTTATTTGACTCGGGAGATTGACATTTTGTTTTGTCCTCCGCATCTTGAAAGTTTGATTGGGTCGCTGGTGAATTAGGAATATTGTGGCTTCCTAGAGACGCTTCTAGGTCAGACAGGGTACATCCATCTTTTATAATACTGGACAACATCTCTATCACATTGTGGATAGCTTTCATTTTACCCTGAATTTCATCCTGAAAAGAAATATGGATTTAAAAATTTGATCCGCTTGTATATATTATACGAATGTACTCAATACATACTGGCACCTCCCCTTCCTCTGCTTTAAATTAATATTACAATGGAAAATATATGAAAATTTCATGGAAATATCGGACCTGATGCTATGCTGGACTTTCAAGCCAAAACTGCGAAACAAAACAATGCTACCAACTGGAATATTCAAACTTACCCTATTTTCATTTGTCGCTTTTAAGAAAAGTGCACCGAGACATTTACCTGTAATTTATCGTTTTCCCTCAAAATGTTTGCCAAATCACGATCCGTAGAGCCATCTGCTACAAGTTCCTGCTTTTGTAAACGAAGTTGCTCCAGTTCGTGTCGCAAAACTGTCACTTTTTTTACGTAATCTTCACGCTGTTTAACAAGCTGCGCCTTTTGTTGTTGCATTTCTTGTGCCACAGCTACAATAAACATATTATTAGTGAATATAGCAAAAGCAAACTCCAAGAATATATACAAATACAAATAATTCTGTATAATCATTTTAACTGCCCTTGATGTTACTGATTTTTACCACTCCAATAGATATTATTGGTGTTAAGATCCTCCTACGAAAAAATTATATTAATTTGTGATTCAATGCTGCATATTATAACATGTAACTTCAAAAAGTACTTATGCACGTCGAAATGGCACATGAAAGATTTAGAGCTTTGAGCAACATGTTCATATCTTCGCGTGAACTTTTCTTCCATCTAAAAGGGTTGCAGAAAAAATAGTCGAAAAGCTTAACAAAGATATTGGCAATGCAGCTTTCAGCTCAAAAATCTTACAATTATAGTGACCGATGGCCATGTAGGTTTGACGAAATTAACTTATTTTTTTGATTAATTCACAAAAAAGAACTGAAGATTAGAATATCTATAAATACAGATATCCTTATTTTGATGGAACAGAAGTTTATAACACTGCTGAAATATAAAATATATACAGATTCGTAACAATTGAGTGTCCAAAGTCTGAAGACGGATTTTTAACCATAGCAGCAAAGCTTTTTCTGTGTATTTCAATATGTCTCGAGCACATAACAAACTTAAAATCTAATTGTATAAAAAATGACAATTGAAAAAGATCTAAAAATAGTTAAAAGTGGTTTTCCATTGTATTTAAAAAAACTTACAAGTATGTTAATTCCCAATTTAAATAAATATTCTATTTATGTTTTCAATGCATTTAAATGTGATTTTTTTTAAAACATAATAATTGACAAAAAGAAATATTTTAATAAGCACGCACTATAAATGAATGATTAGATGAAAAAGGAAATACACGGGATGTAGTTCTGAATTAAAGCAACCAATAGATTTATTTGACATTTAAAAAGTGGGTTCTTGTTTAGAAAACATACAATAGATGGTATAACTTATTCTATACTTTTTAATTTAAATAAAATAATTTCTTCTATTTAAACTGAAACAATTCTTGTGAACAATAATAATTTAATTATGTACTAGTTTTAACGTCTGCTAGCCTGTATAATATAAAATTGTCAGGAAAACCTTTTGCCGTTAGCCTTTAAGAAGTACTGTTCTATAATTTCTATTACTGACCAGACAAATTGTTCCTGAAATTAAAACAAAAATTAATTTCTGACCTTGCTTTACGAAGAATAGTAATAATTTGTTTTTAAATTTTATTCATTGCGTTACATTGTTTACCAACATGCATTACTGCCTGTACTCACCATCATTCTGTGAAGTTCCATAACTACCAGCTTGCGATGAACTCCAATTATCTGAAGAAAAATTTTCTCCAGGTGGTGCTGGCTGTGGATTCTATAAAAAATTTAAAATGAATGTCGAAAACAACTCAATTTTGAATATTCTGGATATGATTTCTATTTTTATATTCCTCTTATATGTATTATGATGCTCCACCTTAGGTTTTTGTCCGTTTTTCGGATATTTACATGTATTACAGTTAGATACAGAAAATCTAAGTTTCATTTCATATTTCTTTTAAACTCGACATGTCATACGTTAAAAATGTGGATAAAATGTTTGCCCCCTTCGTTAATCTTATATATACCTAGTTTTTCATATGTAATAAAAATTTTATACACATAATACAAAAATTTACCTGAGCTGTGTATTGGGTTCCATAACCTGTATATCCATAAGAACTGCCATAATTCTGCTGATACTGTGGATAAGCACTTTGGTACCCAGTAGGATAGTGTGTAGACTGAAGCAAGAAACATGCACAATCATTAGCTAGACAATATATTTTTTATACAGTTTTTTTATATTTAATTTTTTAACAAATCAATCCATAAAAAGTGTAAGGGGCTAAAAAAATTATCTTTGCAAATATTGGTAAATGTTTGGCCTCATTAATATACAAATTATTTGTATATGACATATTTCGTCAAACCGCAATTTTTTTTACTGATTATTTTTGTTAATTTATGAAAGCTGAATTATTTGTCTTGATAATATTAGTTAAATGTAATACTTACGTTGTTATACATATTACAACATTAACACCAATGTATTGCAAAAAATCTTGATCCTGACTGTTTTAGAATCTTATGTGCATTATTTTGTAGACACAAGATTACTTTTCAATAACCACTGAAATATAACAAGAATAATAAAATATATATAAAACTATTAATAACACGTATCGTACCTAAGTATTAAATAAATTATTTAATGAAATTTGAACAAAGCGCCATAAGGAGAGACGCTAATGTCAAAATTACAGTAAAAATAAGATAGTTGTTAATATCGTTAAGACGGAGTATTGTTATTCCAAAATTATACACAATTAATAACTCACGTTTTCCCCACTTTTTATTCTAATATTAAATAAATCTTGTAATAAAATCACTTTTTTTTATAAAACGGAAAGCATCACACACATACACCTCCTCCACCATTTATTTACTAAAACAGGCTTGCCATCTTGCCACTATTAACAATCTTTTTCCCTAAATAGAAGGAACATTCGATTGGTTATAATGACTAATGCGTATACCGATTTCCAATAATTTGTTTGTAAAAGTTCTAAAACAGAAAATTTAGGGAACTATGCATTTTTAATTAAAATTGTTACACAGGAAAATTCACATGAAATAGAATAGTGGTATAGATGCATCAGTACAATTATCTCTCATTTTAAAATGAAATATATTAAATTATACTTATTTATAACTCCTATGTATACAATGGAGAATACAGTGGTAAGTAACAGGTTTTACAGATTTACTCTAGAGCTGCAATAAAATTTAGTTATTTTCATTTTAATATATCGGTTTTCAAATTTCATATCATTTATAGTTTATAGGTACCCTGTATAAATACATTTTATTTTTTATAGGCGCACTACCTATAGGCACGGGGTCTTCTTAAACTATCTAATTAATTAAATTAATTAATTTCTAGATTTGGAGTTATAAAATTTCTGTTTATAACCTTTTTGCTCAAATGTTCAAAAACCGAGACCTGCGCCTTTCTCTCGTAATCGATAATTTAGTCTTACCCAGTAACGCCATTACCCCTTTCAAAAGAATTTTAGTGGTTTTGATTTATATCTCAAAATATACAGTTAAATATACCATCATTTATGGAATTTTTCGTTATGGGACATATAAAGTAAGTCATCACCTTTAAATTTCCGCAAGATGTGTCTTGCTTTTTATTGTTTATAGGTATATACATTTTTTTTAATGTTTGCTTTTATTAAAATGAAATGTTAACAAATTATTAATAAAATAATGATATCTCGCCAATTTACTCATCTACAAAAAATACCTATACTTTCATGTTGAAGTGAATGGTATATTATATCTAACATAAAAATATTTATGCTGGACTATATGGATATTTGAAATTTAATTAGGACGCTCTAGTTAGTTATTAAAATATCAGGATTTTAAATTCATTTTAAATTGTATAATTTAATTTGCGTTGTTGATACTGTTGATATTCATGTACATAGGTATGGACTTTATAGACACCTTCTAATTGTTGTTACAAAAAGCGTAAAGAAAATAGAAGCAAATGTATATTTTATCTGTGTATAGAGAAAAAATCGCTAAAATGTATCATTTCAGAGAAATATGAATTTCAATTTTTTTACTGTAGTCGTCAGTATTCTAGACTCTTTAAACTTTACTTTTTTTAAATTAATAATAAAATTACTGGGATATAATCAATTTTTCGATATACAGGGTGATCAATGTAGCGGTTCCAAATCACATTCTTACATTATGTATCTTTAAAAATAAACAAGATGTATTCGAAACTTGGAACTTGGACCACAGTATTCTTATGAAAAGATTAACTACTAGGGTAAATTTTAGAACTCTACGTCAATCCAGAGGCATAAAATATAATTGTATTTCTCTTCTACTTTTTCTGAATCACTGATTCAGTTGCTCTTTGTACTCTTGTCAAAATCTCGGATCTCTTACCTTTTCTGATATTTTTTAAGAAAACAAAACTGTGCGTAACTTGATCAAAATCGGTTTATTACCTAAGGAAGTCGACCTCGAAGTACGGTCCATTCGCTTCTGGACACTCTGTATAAAAAATTAAATCTTACTCATATTATGATTTTATAAAATTGTTCTAATTGATGTCCTTGTGCCTTCTCGATACACCTCCGCATTTTTAATATCTTCATTTATTCAAGGGATATTTAGAGAAAAACCATTTTTTAAACAAAAAACTTCAGTACTCTGTATTTCAAGCGCAAGGGAAGTACACTCACCTTGTATAAAATTCTTAATTTACTCTTTCTGGCCTATTAAGTATGTACAAATACGTATACCAAATTTTTTAGTCAAGTCTTTTTTGTCAGTGGTGTAGAAATAGGGGAGTATACTGTTATTTAAGTAGAGAAAAAGTAGCACGCCGCTGTAGTTAATAGAATCTATTACGATTGTTTAAATACTCTACTAATTTATTACTAAAACATGCCTTAAGCAATTATCGTATCGTTGTTCGTTTTCGAGATATCGTCACTAAAAATATGGAGCAGCGTTACATGTCCGGGAAATTTAAATTACTAAACCAGCGGCTGTAAATAGCAACAGGACAAGCCAATAGTGCATATTTAGAAGATTTTTTACAAGTTTAGTTTCAATAATTAATTCTAATTTAGTTTCGAGTAACAATTTTTTTTATATTTAACGTCCTATATCTTTATAAGGAAGCATTGGCGGACCCATGTTTACTAAAATTTTCATCTTATTTTCATGAGAGGATGCAATATAGTTTTGAAGCACCCTGTATATATAAAATGCGTTTTGGAAGTTCTAAATTGGTCTTGTTTAAAACTTTATAGATGCATCAGTAACTATTAGTGGATATAATATCTTTTCATATAGAATCTGAGGGATAATTCTCAAGAAAAAGATATAAACATATTAAAAATAACAAAACCATTCAGTGGTGAGCCCAGACAAAATAATAATAGGTATATTTTTATTTCAACAATTATCACTATAAATGTACGAATCATCAGTGATCGCACATTATTGTTTATTACATAAATCACGCTTCGTAGTGAAGTGCATCGATAGATAATGTAATGTAGGTGGACAACCAGTGCCCGAAAAACAAAATCAATAGCGTCTCGGCGCTGTTCGTGACGTCGCACTCGACGTCGCGATGGCAGCCATCGCGATCCACCCGGAGTAAAGTCAAATTTTATATCCTTAGTTAACGGGAATGTGTAAAGTCCTAGTGAAATTTGTATGTGTAAAAAATAACCGAAATGTAATGATATAATGAACAATTAGTGATTTGGATCCCAAATGTTCAAGGTAGGAGATGAAAAAATGGACTATTCTTATTAAATACTAAAATATTCCCCATTTCTCTTATCAGGATATACTAATAATACAATAAGTACAATTGGTTGTAACATATTTCGCAAATATTCATATAAATGTTAAAGGGAATATTAATTTTATAACAAATAAAGATCTTTATCCCAAAGGCAAACAAATGATATAGATAAGTAGCGCACTATACATATATTGATGTCCTTTAGAAAAATATTCTCAAAATTTTGCGTTACAAGATAAAAAATCAGATATTTATATTTTGATGTAAGAAGATACATAATTTCCGAATAAAAATAAAAAATAAAGCATTATCTTGAATCGAGAATACTACATTCTCTTTCCCGATGAAAACAGTTATGTATTTTGGCAAAAATTACTTAATCCCAAATTATAATATGCACAACACCTACGCAAATAATTGTTTATTGATGATAATAACCAGTGACACAAAGGGTTGCTGCTTTCTCCACTACTACATTATTTTAGCAATTTTTTTCTATATATGTATGTAGTGTCTTTTATCACTTACGATGATGATCCATGACCAACTAAGATTTTCGGAAAATAGTGTAAGGGATTTTTTTTTATAAATCTGACTACGTTATCATTTAAAACCTAGTTTATTTAGTTTCTATTTCAGTTTAAAGAAGCAGGAAGCACTAAAAATACCTGAAGTGATGAAAATAGTCAGTTACTGCTACCGCTGATTATAATTGTTAAATAATAGAGTATATGCCCTAAACTATGAAAATGTTGGGCCTTGCGTATAATTGTTATAATAACTGATAAGTAGACTCTATTATATACCAATTATAATCGGCCAAGTTTTCATGGTATTCAGTATTTCCAATGTCTACAAAAACTTTTCTCTGACTGCAGCACTGGAATAGTAAAGTTAATATCCAAGAGTTATTTATATTAACTGAATTTTTTTCTGATAATTAAGCTATCAGCATTGATTTAAGAACTATCTGTTCCATAAATTCGTGTGAATAACCTTCAAATTTGTGAAAACATCATCATCTCATTCAAAGAAATGCCTACTGGATCTATACTGCGGTCCATCTAAAAAATTATGACCGATCCCCATCCAATCTCAAATGTTTCGGTTACGTGCCTGAATATATTGCATCTTTATGGATGTTAAACTAAAGATGACTAGATTTATAGAAATGAGTTGTAATATAAATTTATTGCAAGTTTCCTTTGAATTACATAGTCACAGTGTTAGTTTGCTTAGAATTTGGATTTTTTTTCAATAATTCAGCAAATATTTCTTTGTAAGGATCTCAACAAAACTTTGGCAGTTTGATTGGTACAAATAATTGATATTTTACAATCATCTTTCTTTTTTAATAGAATTACCTAGTGATTTTATGTTTTGAATAGAACATTAAATCACGAAGAAATGTCTCTTGGTTGTATATGGGTGTAAAGTCAATTTCCGAATGGTAATATGAAAGAAACGTGACAGTAAATTTTAAAACTAAATTATTCAGAAATTGCTATAGGTATTTTGTTTATAGGGATCTCAATGAAACTTGTATTAGATAATGCACAAAATAACCAAAGGCTTAAAAAAGAAGAAAAAAGGTAAAAAATCTAAACATAAGGAAGAAGAACTATTTAAACCTGAAGAACTCGAAGAGTATCGCAAAGAGCACCAAGCAGCGACAAGTGCAGACTCCTCGGAGAAAAACGAAGAGTGGAAAAAATTCATTGCTCTTACTTCCGAAGTAGATGATATCTTAAAGAAAACCCAAGGCGATTTAGACCGTATAAAGAGTACATCATTCTTCCAACGCAAGCCAACAGAGAGTGAAGTCCAGCGAAAGGCAGAAAAACAGAAGCAAGTAGAAGCGGAAAACCAGCAAATAAAAAAAGAGGAGGTTAACCAGAAAGAAACACCAGCAAATCTTGGAATTGTCGAAGTTTCAGAATCCGAATCTGAGGAAGACGATGATAATATCTTCGATACAGCTTACATAGATGCTATTGCAGCTGGAGAAGTTAAACTTGCTTATATCCCCGAATCTCCTACAGATAAGTTAGATGGAGATGATCCTTTTGATACGTCTATTGCTGAAAGAGCGATTTTAGGACCTGAGGTTCAACGCAAAGGTAAAAAGTTAGTGCCGATCGGTGCCGCTGTTGAAGTTTTAACAGGTCGTGTACAATTACCAACTTGTGCGACCAAGAGACCTATCAGCAGACGACAGATTCTGAAACAAACAGATTTGCTTTTGGGGAGTTTTGAAGATAATTCCAATCTGCCCACAGATATTGGTAAATATTATTTTTAAACAAGATAGTTGTTAGGTAAAGAAACGTAGCTACATGTTTTTTATATCTATTTTTCAGCACCTTCAGAAGAAGCTCCAAGGACTCTACTGGACGATGATTCAATTCCTCTATCAAAAGAGCCAATCAATTTAAATGCACCTCTTCCAGTTCACATTCCAAATGTTGCAAGTAATGTCAATTTTCAGGGGAAGGTCGATCAAAGTAGAAATATAATAGATGAATTTGATGTAATTGCTAAGGAATCCGAAGACCCGGATGATATTGAATTTGAGACATTGGCAGCAGAAAGTCTCTCTAAATCTGCTAAAGTCCTTGAATCGTTGCCAACTAATTCTTCTGGGCCTATAGACGGTATTGAATGGAATGCCTTTGGAGATAAGTAAGTGAATATTTATTTAACTTGCGATCTTATTTTATTAAGATTTTCTAATTTCTCTTAACAGTTAGGTAAGGCGTTGAAAATAAAGTTGAAAAATCTTCGTCTTATTGACATTACAGAAGCTAATTGGATTTTTTGTTTTAGTGAAAAGGTTGCTGTAGAAGTCGATCCATTTGACACTTCCTTCGCGGAAAATATTTTGCCAGGGCGAGTAGAATTGAAAATTATCGAAAAGGAAATACTAAATGAAGATATCGAATTTAAATTTCAAGAAGACAGTACTGACTTTTTTAATGGACAGATACTGGATAGTTCTAAACATACAAATTTAATCAAAGGACAGCGAGTGCCAGGTATGACAATTGTTATATTTACTAAGTGCATATGTTATAATACACATTTTTTCAGAAGCTGAATTGAATTTGATCAAGCCTATTCATAGGGATCTTCTAGGTGGAAGCAATACAGATTTATCGATAATAAACCAGCCCATTGAGTCCAAGATTAACCAGGGATTTTGTGTCACGGACCTTTTTGACTCATCGATCGTAGACACAGTAAAAGATGCGGATATAATTGGATTGGATCAAGAAATTGCAAATAATGGTTTAAGTGACGATGACTTCGATCCTCGAGCAGACGAAAAGCCGAGGGAACGAACTGTGTCGCGACCGGATGTCTTGAATATATCCAGTGCGAAAACCGTTTCATTTGATTTGACGCCACCAAAGCAGTCTAATCTCTTGGGGGCCGGCGAAGGAGGAAAAATTATAAAGCCATTGACCCCATTTTACGTGCGTAAAAATTCCGTACCGGAAGTACCAGTTGAGGAAGATCTAACCGATCCGTTTGACACTTCGTTCGCTTCAAATATTGCACCAGGAAGAGCTGAACTGAGGGTCATCGAAACCGAACTGTTCGATCCGAATGTTGAAAAACAATTAAGTTTGGTTGATAACGATTTTGATCCTAGGGATGAGAAAAAAGCTGAAAGGGACAAAGTAGTGGGAATAATTAAAGATATAACGAACATAAAATTACCCAGCAAAAAAGTAGAACGAGCAGTCGATTTATTAGCAATCGATGACAACATATCCGTCAAAGTATTAACACCGGGAGGTAACATAAGGCTAGAAGAATTATCGTATTGCGATCCTTTCGATACGTCTACTATTGCTACTAATATATTGCCTGGAAAGACAGAATTGAAATTATTGGAAACGGAGTTGATCAACCGGGAAACAAATTTAAATTTAGACAAACCCGTGGAAGATCTACTAGAAGATCATCATGACATAATAAACCAGCAGCCCTTATCTCCTGGAGGTTGCTTTGGATTATCAACAATTGATGACCAGGAAGATTTTGATCCGTTTGATACAAGCATCGCTAATAATATTCAACCTGGCAAAACAGAACTCAAACTGCTTGAATCAGAATTCATTTAATTGAATCACTATGGCGGCCAATCCGTTTCTTTTTAACGAGGAGGTTTATCACTCCCCCCCTTCCACATCTAATCCTTTTCTTTTGGATGATGATGTTGAACAAAACGCGAGTGCATTTAGTGACAATCCATTCTTGTCTTCAGATACTTTTGCTTCATCTTCTAACACTACCAACCCTTTCGCGTTTGAACCTTTCGAGTCAGTGTCGCAACAAGGAAATGAGTTTAATGCAGTTTCAAGTAATACGTACGTGAACAGCAACAACGAGCAAGATTTTTTCACTACTGATGAAGTACTGATACCGAGTAAAAGTTCTACTTCTACTTTTAACGTTTTAGTGAACTCTGATCAAGTGGCTCCCCCTCAGAAACCAGTGGATTTGAATTTAAAGTGCTCTCAAACAACTATTGGCAATGGACCACCAAGGCCACCACCTCCTAGGGTACCACCATCCAAAGAGACCCAGGATTTGTTAATGTCAGTCATGGGTGCAATGGATGCAACTAGTTCCAGTTTACTGGACAAAATACCGCCAACAAGGACTCCCAGTCCTGTTTCTATGCGGGATTTGCATTCCCCTAGTCCTACGCCAGACACTACTTTCGGAGATCTACTTGATGTTAGTGATAGGACGAACGAGGTCAATGAAAGTAATAAGTCGGAAGATTTTATGAAAATGGACCAAGAATTAAATTGTGACATCAATCAGAACCCTGCTGTTATTCCGACTGTCCAACAAGTTAAACCTGCTAGACCGTCTCCGCCTGTTAGGCCTCCGAAACCTGCACCACCGCAGAAACCACCTCCACCTGAGCTTCCGGGTATTTTGTCAAATACACAAATGCAAGCACAGCAGCAGCAACCAAAACCCTCAGGGAATAAAGCAAGTGAATTAGACGAAATACCCAATATGTTTGACGTTGAAACGACACAGCCGCAAAAAGTATCCGTTTCCAAAGCTGACATTCTTAACTTGTATAACACAGCACCCCCTAAACCGGAAACAATGAAGACTGATCTTCTTTTCGATATGGTTGAACCTGAGTTAGCTATTCAGGATGAACCACAAGAAAACATTCAAGAAAAAAGTGAAGAAACACCTCTCAAAGAGGACTTAATAACTGAAATTTCCCCCGTGAATCCAGTCAGTGAAGTGGTAAAAGACAGTTTCCTTTCACCTGAACCGAATGATTTTCAAATGGACACTAGTGACAGCCAGAGTAAAGGATCCGTGTCGAGTGTTACATTTAATCCTTTCGCAGCTACGGACGATTTTAATCAACAAATAAGCCCTCAGAGTCACAATGAAGTCTTCGAAGATAACACAAGCACAAATCTTAGTCATACAGGTGGTATTTTAGATGAAATTGTGACTAGCGCACCGCAAACTGAGGACATTCTCGTTATTTCCGATTCCACAACAATGCCTTTCAACGACGATTTTGATGCTTTCGCTGAGAAATTTGATTCGGTTAAGATCGAGGAAAATAAAACTATTTCCTCACAAATTAACAATGCTTGGGGCAACGAATCATCAAATAATAATGAAGTGTCGTTAGGTTTTGGAACTGATGATAATTTCGATGCGTTCCTTGCATTAGAGGAACCTCCTTGCGTGCCGCAAAGCACTCCCAATCGTATAAGTAAGGCGGCATCGCAGGAATCTGATGAGGATAAGGACTTTTCAGTTTTCATTCGGTAATATGACTATAAAAATTTGAAAGAACATATATGGATATACATTTCTTTTTTTTAGACCGAAAGGAAACGAGGAATTTGGTGGGGCACTTCCTACAATAGCTCCTCCACCAGCTCCAGTGTCGACAGCTTTTACAGACACTTCTCCCAGATTCAACCCATTCGATCAGCAAAATGACACTTCTGTAACAGATGCGGTAGAAGATCAAATTCCTGGTAAGTTAATTTGATACTCATATATTTTATGGTTCTAATTTGTACATATGTATATAAACTGAAGGTATGTAGTGGTATGGTTTTGCCTATAACCTTTGAACCACTTGTAGAAATTCATTTATGTTTGGTGTACATCGTACATCATCATAGACCAATAGATTTCCTTTACAGTATCTACAGTTCCGTTCCAAATATTAATATATGTAGCTATCTGATTTTTGTAAAACACCACAGCAAAAAAATGATAATTTGAATCTGTTCAGTCGGGGAAATAAAAAGAACAGACTCTCAAGAAACGCCCCCAACACCTTTATTCGACGATGACGTTTCTCAGCCTCTTGAACCATTTCCAAGAGTCGATTTCGCAGAGGAAGGATGGGAAATGCACCTGAGGCAACCAAACAAAAAGAAAATCACCGGTCAGCGATTCTGGAAAAAGATATTCGTCAAGCTTGTACACCAAACCGACTGTGTTCTTCTGCAATTGTTCAACCAAAAGGATGATAAAGACCCGTTTCAAGAGTTACCATTACAACCTTGTTACTCCGTTTCTGAGATAGGCGCCCAACAGTACGATCAGTTCGGTAAAATATTTACTATAAAGCTACAGTATATCTTCTACAAGGAGAGGCCTGGTGTCAGGCCAGGTCAAGTGAAAAAGGCGGAAAGGATAACGAACAAAATTAGCCAGTTTGCGGCTTATGCTATTCAAGGGGATTACCAAGGTACCAAATAATTATAAATCATGTCACTTTTATATCATCGTTTTCTTAATTTAGGTGTTAAAGAATTTGGTAGTGACCTGAAGAAATTGGGCTTACCTGTTGAGCATGCACCTCAGGTGTCTCAGCTAATGAAACTGGGGTCGTTAAACTACGAAGACTTGAAGCAATTTTCTTGTTCCATTGAAGAGGCCCTGTTCAAGTTAACTGCTCATAGAGACAGAGCCTTGCATTATAAGATGGAAGAAGTTCAGATAACTGCGGTAGATGAACTCTACGTGGAGCAAGATGCTGAAGGTTGAATATTTGACAAAACACGTTATTAGAGTCGATTAAATGATGGTTTTTCAGGTCATGTGGATAAGCAAATAGCGCGGGTTCGATTATTCTTTTTGGGATTCTTGACTGGAATGCCCGATGTTGAATTAGGCATAAACGACATGAGGAGACAAGGCAAGGAGGTAGTTGGCCGACATGACATCATTCCTGTGGTCACTGAAGAGTGGATCAGGTTGGAGGAAGTCGAGTTTCATTCTTGTGTCCAACAGGTCGAATATAATGAAACGCATATTATTAAGTAAGTGAATTTCATGTTCAAAAATTACCAATAATGATACGTCCGTTTCAACACCGATTTATGAGTGGTTATTCTACTACCTCAGATCTTGTTAAGAAAACCCAATTTATTGCTGAAGCATTGGATACGGGGAATTAAATTGATGTATATACCGAATTTTCTAAAGGATATGATACCAGTTTGTACAGTATCATAACTTCCAATCAAATAAAATTCATCAATCTTTAGGAGTTCCCCAAAGATCAATTCTGGGGCCACTCCTATTTGTTGTTCTTAATAATGTTCTAAGTAAAGCCTTGATGTCATTTTCTTACTCTATGTAAACGACCTTAAATTGTGTTTGTTGTACGAGATTACAATTTCTTTTTTAGGTTTAAACCTCCGGATGCCTGTTACATCGAGCTGCTGAGATTCAGAGTGCGGCCCCCGAAAAACCGGGAACTTCCTCTCCAACTTAAAGCTCAAATATGTGTTACAGGATACAAAGTACGTTATTAAATTGATGTATAAATCTCATATTTAACGTACTTGTGTTTTAGGTTGAGCTTAGAGCTGATGTACTGGTCCCTGGTTTTGCGTCGAGAAAACTCGGTCAAATACCCTGCGAAGACGTCATGATTCGCTTCCCGATACCAGAATGTTGGATATACATGTTTAGAGTTGAGAAACATTTCAGATACGGATCTGTGAAGTCGGCACACAGAAGGTAATTTTTTTCAAAATCAAGGAGGAAGGAGGAATTTTATTTTTTTGCATATGTTATTTGTACATTTTTATATTACCTCTAATATAAATTTTAGAACGGGAAAAATTAAGGGTATAGAACGGATCCTAGGAACCGTAGACACTCTACAAGAGAATCTGATAGAAGTAACATCCGGACAAGCGAAATACGAGCACCAGCACAGGGCAATAGTGTGGCGATGTCCACGGTTACCAAAAGAAGGGCAAGGTTTGTACGCGGACTGACGTTTTTACTTCTAAGTCTAAAAAATTGTAACTTTTAGGAGCGTACACAACTCACAACATGGTGTGCCGTATAGCACTGACGAATTACGACCAAATGCCTGAGAAATTAGCCGAGTACTGCTATGTAGAGTTTACGATGCCTGCTACGCAAGTTAGCCATACGACGTGTAGGAGCGTCAGCTTACAAAATTCGGATAGCGATGAACCCCCCGAAAAATACGTTAGATATTTAGCTAGACATGAATATAGGTAAGTTTGTCATTATTGTTAAAGAATTTAGCTTCTACGATGATATAAATAAATCGAAAGCAGAGGAATACTAAAGGAAAGTCGGAGAATCGGAGAGATTCTCTCAAATTTTTCGTTCAATTGCTTTTGACCTATCGAGGATATGAGTACTTTTTTTAATGTCCGGACATTTACAAATCGAACACAGTTGGATAGTCTCCGCTTATCTCTCCCCTAAATGTCCCTTTAATTTTCTTGACGGTTATGTCACGATTGTGGAAGTCACGTGGAACGTCAACCAATCAGAGAAGCACTTCAAGCATGTAGCGAGTCCGAGGCTTTCTGACCGTGCACGTGCACAAGATGCACATGGTCGGCTTACATTTGTGGTTAATTTTCTGAATTAATTTAATAATGTAAAAAATCTACATAAAGGCATTAATTAAATTATTTTATATAATTATTCAGAGTTGGAATTGAACATACGGAAGGGGAATCACCAAATCCATACGCAGCTGCAACTTTTATCAGCAAACCGCCTGAACCGGTCGCCGAAGAGAAACCTATCGCTGAGGAGTCGAGCTCAGATAGTGATTAAATATGGATTATTTGGAATATTGTTTTGATAATTGTAGTACTATCTCAAAAGGGACATACTTTAGAGTGTAGCCAATCTTCTTTTAAATAAGTATTTGGTTCGATACGCGGTATCATACGTCTAATCTACCTTTATACGAGTATATCTTGACTGTATATAATTTATAAATCTATAAAATTAGCTTTACAACAAATATCTTTCTTGAACACGAAGTTGTTTAGTTAATAATAATGAGTAATATACAAGGTGTTAATGAAATAAATTCTCAAAATTGGAGAGTGTGTAAAACATGTCAAAATGTGATGAAAACCTAGTAGAGTTTTTGTCAGTTGCGGCCCCTAAGGGAGATACAGCCTCTTGAAGGGGTAATTCAGGAAACAGTTTTTGTTTCATAACTTCAAAATGGTTTAATATTAAATCACGAAATTTTGGGGTTGTATTACTATTTATATGCTTAATAATCGGTATAATATACAAATCAAAATTTGCTACAGGGGCCTAAGAAAATGCGGGATCATGGGTCAAATTTTATAAATTTTTTGTACGCAATTTTTTCTACTTCCTGAACCGAAAATATGAAAATTTTTCATATTTTGCATAAAAAAGATACTTGTTAGATATTAATACTAGTTCCTAGTAAAATTCAATTCAATAATTCATTACTTGCTCAAAAATTGCTACTGCAAAATAAACGTATCAAATTGTGCCATGACAAAAGGAAAATTAAATAAAAATAGTAATTTTCTCATGGCACAATTTGATACATTCAGCAGGAATTTTTGAACACGTAATGAATTATATTGAAATGGATTTTACTACCAAACGGCTCATGCTATTAAAATCTAATAAGAGTACCTTTTTTATGTAAAATATGATGATTTTTCTTATTTTGTTTTCGGGAGTTGGAAAAATTTGGTTCCAAAAAAAATTGTAAAATTTACGCGATGGTTCCGCATTTTCTTACGCCCCTGTAGCAAATTTTGATCTGTATATTATGCCGATTATTAAGCATATAAATAGTAATACAACCTCAAAATTTCGCGATTTAATATTAAACGGTTTTGAAGTTATGCAATGAGAACTGTTTCCTGAGTTCCCCTTCAAGGGGCTGTATTTCCCTTAAGGTCCGCCACTGACAAAAACTCTACTAAGGTTTTCATCATATTTCGACACGGTTTACATTCGCTCCAATTTTGAGTACTTATTTCGTTAACACCTTGTAGACATAAAAAACTTACATGAATATATTTCCATTGATTGTGGTTGGACTGTTCTAGCAAGTCAAAACTTTCAATTCAATCTATTTCAATTGCAATTTTACTTTTTCTGATAAGAGTTAGGTACACAGAGCGCCAGCTCAGTTTTGTAGTATTTTTTTAAAATAAATTTGAAAATCTTACTGGCAGACAAATTCTTAGGTTATTTCTTTTACCTATTGGATAAAAAAAATGTTCAAGAATAATTGAATAGCTTTATAAAAAACCAAAAGTTGAGGGAAAAATTTATATATTATACCTTTAATAGTTTTTATGTTAAGTCACACAAAAGTAAAAAATAAAACTAGTTGATCGGGTCAAATTTCGTGTAAAGAGGATATCAGAATATAGTATTAATTTTTAGAAAAAAAACTAATATATTTATTAATTTTAGAACTGGACATACCTACATAATTGGTATTTAATATTATTTTTTTTCATTTTTTTTATCAATTGAGGTTCAGTGGGCGCCAATTATATTATAACATTTTGGGGACGATTACTATGTATATGTCATGTGTCATATATTCAAAAGTCAAGACGAAAAAGGTGACTAGACGTATTCCATTTTATATGTAAATGTTTACATATCTCTCCACAAGGCCCTCTACATTTTAGTTGGATTAGCATAACGATTAGAGTAATTTAAAAATTTAGATTTGTTACATAACGTAGTTATGATATATTTTTTTTTAGTGTGACTGTATGTCGACGATAAACCTGTTAGTAAATAGGTATCTAATATATTAAGGAATATCACGGTGTAAAGATGTTGGACCTGCTAAATGTACTTTTATGTATATCTTTTAGGGTAGATTTAAACCTTAGCACCCGGGACAATATGATAAAGTAATACATATAATATAGTTGAAATCTTATACCTATAACATGCTTGATAAATACCCTTTATATTTATGTACAAATTATTTTTGAAATTGTTGACACCCCCATGCTTCTCTACTAAAGTAACCAGTTAAGAAATGAATAAGAAAGGTGTTAGATGTAACAACTGTCTTATAGAAATGATAATAATTAAGTGTAAATTATCTTTTTTCCAAGAAGATAAAACTGTTTTTCTACAGCAAAGACAATTTGTCAGTGCTACACACATCCATGCAACAATAAAAATACAAGTACATAATTTTTGTATATAAATAAGGACGAAACAATTTTTCTATTCACTAATTTATTCATTTTGCTATTTGATGTACATTTTATTAGGTTTTAAAACAGATTTTATTGTGGCAAACTGTGTGGCGCTACCTATGTGCGGTCAACAGAACTATGTAGTGGGAAGCTTTCCCTGTGACCGAACAAAATTTCATCAGTATCTACGAAGTTATAACGTTTTGCGTGAAGCGAGTGTTTGACAGTTGTCATGGAAACACATTTCACGCAAAACGTTATAGATACGTAGATACACGTATTCTGGTGAAATTTTGTTTGGTCGCTCGGAAGACTTGCCACTAAGTAGTTCTGTTAATCGCACATAGATAGCGCCACGCACTTGGCCACAATAAAATCAGTCTTGAAACTTATTAGCCGGACCGTGTATTTGTTGTTAAATCCATTAATTTTTAAGTAAATTATACAAACAGCAAATTTATTTCACTTTATGAAGTAACCCCACACGTAACTATTTTTTTAAGAGTGTTATAATAAATAAGTAAGAATAAAGAAATTAGTTAACAATAACTTTCCAAATAAATGATAAAGTAATAAATATTGGATACATATATGATTTAATTATAAATGATATTAAAAGTAATGAGAGTGGTAAAGCGAATTTTTGCATTACAATTTGTTTACGCTGTCGTACTTGTTTCCTAACAGTCACCATGACTGAATATTTCCTTTAACGTTGACATTAACAAATAAATAAGTAAAATGTGTTTATACTGATGTTGTTGCAGCAAAAATTCGTTTTTATACTATGTATTTAGATAACTGTTGACTAGTTTTAGTAACCGTTTTTTTTTAATTTACGTGTTTTTAAATTAATATGTCCTATTTTTTATTGATTGCGCGTTATTTGGGGATCAAGTCCCTCGAGTGAATTCTAGTCACTAGTTTTTAAGGGTAATTGTAAGTAATTAAAATGAGTATGTGAATAGAGATTATTATTGTAAAAGATAATGCCAAGTAGTTAAATATGAATCTGTATATTAATGTAAACCTATATAAATAAAATGTATTAATGCTTGTATTTTTTATTTGTGTGAATCTTTCAGATTAACGTAGGAGAATTAAAAAAAATATTTCGGAATATCTCATCATCATTATGGCTAATTATTTTCTCATTATAATTAATATAAAAATCACATCGGGATTGTTGTATAACTGTATTTTTTTGAGACTATATAATTGTGATTAATTATTGGCCTTAACCATTAAAATCGCGGACCATTTAAAGCAGTGATTCCCAAATTTTTTTGCCACTATTTTTTAATCTAGAGGTATTTAGGCATTGGCGTAGTAAAACAAATGAAAATAATTTAAAAAATATAACCAAACGCTCCTACTTTTTTCTTATGTTTGGATAGAGAGTTATTATACAATTTTCTCGATATAATTCCCTAATTAAACAAATATATAACATTACATTGGCAATAATTTCGTCGTATCTTATTACGTTGCTAAGTTAGCAGTGCCGCCAATGGCCAATAGTAGTAGTCAAGTGTAAGTCCACAATACACTTAGTTTGCAGGTTTTCGTAGAGCAATGGCTGAATAATTCCCGAGCTGGTTGTTGCACTCTATTTTCCAGAAAGAAAAAAAATTTTAGTCTTCTGGCAGGTATTTATACGCTGTGGGCGATGCATCAGCGGTTCCCAAATTCCAGTTAGATCTAACAAGGAGTCAATAGAAATCCAGAAGAATCGAAATCACTTCGATAAACTACAATAGGACAATGGCCAATCAATAGAGGTTTTGTTTGTGACAAAAATAGTAGTAGTAAGGGGACTGTGGCATCATATCTGTAGGTATATCCATATATGTTTCCTACTCCAATTTACCATTAATTTATTTTTTATAAAAAAAACTGTTATGCAAAACAAAGCATTTTTTAGTTTTTTGCTTATAAAACCTAAACAAACGAAGCAATCTGAATGCTATAAAGAGACAATTTGTAGAGAAACGAAATACGAATAAAACGAGAGATCGATTCCATCGGATAATTAGGAACGTAGAAAACCCGAAAAAATTGGAAAATTTAACTTTTTTAAAAAAATCCATTACTTCGCCATTTTTTGAGTTGTAAATATATTATTTAGATGGCTTCTTTAGTTTAGTTTTTATAAACAAAAAACTAAAAAAGCGTTCATTTGCATAAAAATGTTTATAAAAAAATTAATTAATGGTAAACTGGAGTAGAAAACATAAGCATAAGCTACTAGTATTTTTGTCACAAAATCATTGATTTAATGCTCTATTGATTGACCTACAATAATACAACCAATATAAATATCAGCCAGAGATCTCCACTTTCAAGCAGAATACGTTTACTATGAAGGAAACGCTAACGCAAATTTCTCAATTTAGTCGAAATTGTATGCGTTTATCTGAATCCTAATATCGACTATACATTTGGCTTTATGGTTTCCAGAAAACTATAGTTTAATATGTGAAATATTTATTTTTTTTTTCACAATTTATCGAAAACCGAAAAATCAGGAAATGTATACTTTAACTTTTTACTCGTTTGAAAACCAAAGCAAAATAAATGGTAAACGACCTTATCTTTGATCAAGTGTTAGGAAAATAATTATAAAATTTATCAAGACAATTTTATTTTTCCAGATATTATTAATATAATACTTACTAAGTATCACATTTTGTACAAACGATAAAAAATATACTTTTAATTTATTTTGGTATAAACAAGTATTTTCAAATGTTTATGTAACAAGATTTGTTTCATAATATCACTTATTTTTTATTAGTAAGCTATTTAACCACATAATAAAGTCATTCAAAATAAATAAGGACCAAATTACATAAAAAAATGGTATACAAGCTGAGTCAAATTCATGGCTGTAATATCACTTCATAAAAATAAAAGTAATAAAATAATATCACATCATATAAATAAAAAATAGAAATTTAAGGAGAAATAAATATAATTCTCATCTTATTTAAAAGCAACAGTCGGCTCTAGCTCTAAAATGGTTTGTCCAACTGGTTCCTGCGTTATACTTATTTAAAGTAGATTAATTAATAACAGTAACTCCAATATTCAAATTCAACTTCAAATTGTTGTTGGAATATATTGAAAACCCAATTCTTAATCATTACCCTGTATGTCTTGGTTCATGAGATACCAATCGATTCTGTCTCACCCTGTATACTGAGTCAGTAACTTCACCGATTCTAAATCACATTGCTTAGAAATAACTTAATAATAAATTTGAAAAATTTCACTTTCTTATTTAACGTCTTTTCACGATGTTGTCATATTTAATATGGCATAGTAACTTCCGGACAATAGGCCGAATAGCGACATACCCATTATGAGGATATTTTTGTACAGAATCCAGTTGAGAAGCCCCCAGTTCCTCCAGTTCATGATTATGTCAATGAAAGCCGGAACTAACAGACCTAGGGTCGAAAGGAATATGGCTCCTACTAGGTCTATCAGAGCATCCAGGTGATGACCAGCGGATGCAGCTATTCCAGTTACGAAAATAACAGCACCGGTCCTTAGCAGAATTTGGCTGATATTATGTCGTTTTTCAGGAATTCTGTCTTTAATTCTTCTCCAAGTGATGTCGATTGGGACGTAGAACTGGAGCATGAACGTAAAGAAAACTGCTAGGGATATACTAACTTGAACAACTTGCGCAGGTCTGCAAAAAGATTATATTTTGTACTTTCCGTATAACAATGAAAACATTGTACTTCAAGAGTTGAACTAATTCAATTTAAGTCTAAAAATATTAAATGATTTACAGATCAGTAGGAATGAGAATTTAAAATTAAACGTAACAAAAAATATTTCTCAGTCTTACATTTCTTCAGAGGGAAGGTTCTTGGTAATGGTGGCCTCTGTACCATCTCCATATCTGAGGTAACCAAAGAATCCGATAGAGGTGTATAAACTGACTACCATAATCATAGCAATATTCAGCACTCCTGGACATCCAACAAACTGCGATTTCGTCAGCGAGTTCTCAACAGGCATGATAGTACCAATGCCTTCCATGGCGAAGATGACGGTAGCGAAAAATGACGGAATACCAGAAATATCGTTTGCCAGTTTTGTGTCGCTAAGTTTGACTTCTTTAATGCCATAGAAGATGTAGTACAGTGTAATGCCGAATGCTATAATCATGGTCGTGTTTGCGATAAAGGAGAATGGTACTAGATGTTTCAGTTCCCTTATCTGGCAGCACAGGATGAGGAGGACCATTATGCAGACTATGAAATAAGGATACCACGACTCTGCATCTTTGTAGAAAAAGGCAAGTAGCTAAAAAATAAATCAAAACTTAGCGGTTAACACGTATTCCGAACAACCCATATTTAACTAAGGCAAGGGTCAGCAACTGGCGGACCGCGGTCCAGGTCCGGACCGCGGAAGGTAAAATACTGGACCGCCAAAAATTTTTTGAAAGTATAAATTACTCAAATAAATTATTAAAAAAATGTTTGTTGCGTTTAAGTGCCAATCTTATCCATTTTTTCTAGTATTTTACAATTGTGTGAGTGTGTGAGTTCTTAATGGTTAGTAAGCAAATTAAATTTGAGTCCAAATTAAAATAAAAAAATAAGAAATATGAACCTCGTTAAAAATTTTCAAAAGTATCCGGACCCCACCTAAAATTACTTGCCGACCCCTGTTCTAAGGTATGGGCTGTTTTGTCGGTGGTGAATGAAATCGTAATCCGCCCATAATTTTAGAATTTGAAATATTTGTTATTTTCAGAACGTTCTAATATTTAATTCTTCTAACAGTTTAGTCAACATGTAAAACGTCGATATATTTAGTAGAATAGTTTTTGCAAGGTTAACTGTGACATGTTAAGGGAATAGTAAAATAACATTTTACGTACTTTGGTGATAGACTCGGTGATAAACACTACGTAGACTGCATTCCCAACGAAGTACGTGAGCACTAGCGCTATTTCAACGAAATTCCTGAAAAATAAAAGGCACGATCAAATAATGGGAATAAAATTTTCAACACTCTGTCTTTCTTAACGTAGTTTTATGAAAATATAAGCCTTCAACTTAGAAACTTTTGATGTCAAATAAAATTTTGAGATCAACCTGAAATAATAGAGTTCAGTAACATTTTTATAAATAAATAATAGTTTCGCCAGACACTGAAAATTGACATTAAACAAAAGAATGAGTGCATTACGGCCCTGTGGAATTAATATTTGAAATAAAATGTATGTGATCGTAGTTGGCAACTGTAAACAAAAACCTAGACAGCCGGCCGCCGTACCTTTTATTAGTGTCTACGCTTTTTGTTTTGTTGCCCAGTTTGTAGTTTTTGTTTCAATCCACCCACGTAAACAAACATTTTAGTTTTGCTGGTGTACTAAACCTGGTGCTATAGTTTCAAAAAATGTATCGAAACGAACGAAACATTGTTAAAAAATCGGTACAAATAGTGTTATGGTTCTTGATAAGTGATATCCTAAACCAAGTAATTGTATAGTGACACGTTTTTATAAACTACTTCTGATGATTTAATTTTCAAGACGTAGTGGCAAATGATGGTAAGTAGATAACAAACAATTTCATATGATTTTCATGATCTGACACTTTCAAAATTCAATTTAATTAGTCTTAATTTAAATTAGTTAACCTATAAATCGAAACTGTCTACCTTACAGGTGAATTGTAACTAGTATTGCAATTAGTTTCTATTCTATGGCTTTTTTAAATAAAAATGCGGCACAGAACATCTGAATTAGAATCGGCAATTTAAAACGAATTTATTATTTCATATATTTCTCTCTCAGACGGTTGCTTTAATTAATTACGACGTTGCATGATTGAACATGAAGAATGTGTTTCACTCTGAATAATAATTATCTTTAATATTATGTAACGGGTGTTGGGACATTGTTTATTGCCATTTTTATGAGTTCGTAATACTTTCACCTTAAACTATAACGATGCTGATATCTACGCAAATATAAGACACATGTAGATGCTAAATATACAGTATGATCCAACTAAAACCTGATGCACCCCTGGCAATTTTGCATTTTGATTTAATAAACTGATCACGATATTGATACATAGCCCATGTATTGGCTATTGAGGATTGTTTCCCCGACTTTTCCACATTTTTTTAAATATTTGATCAAAACATGTAACGCTTATTTTGTTTCTATAGTAACTATAAAAGCAAATACATAATTTATTGTATGTGCATTGCGATTAAATTCAGTATATTACAGTTTTATCCTTACATTGTTGACTGTTTTTGACAGCACCATCTATACGGCAAGGTAAGACAATTATAGAATTACAGAATCCTATTTAATGGAAACCTCTACTTTTTCCACGATTCTGCCTTTGTCACAGAGGAGTTACTCTCTTCCTTTACTTTAATTTATGCAAGCAGTACGTCAGTACTATCTATTAGCATTAGCATTATCTATTAGCATTAGCATTATCTGCTGATAGTTTATCATGGCTATATTCATTCCATTATAACATATGCTATTTTAGTATGGGGTCTTGCTCCCTCTATGAAAAAAGTTTTTACTCTTCAGAGAAAAATTGTTAGAATCATAACTGATCTTGGATTTAGAGATGACTGTAGAGAGCAGTTTTCTAAATTGAACATTCTAACTGTACCCTGTGCATATATACTTCATTGTCTTATTTATGTTAAAAAACACATAAATAACTTTGAAATCAGAAGTGAGACTCACTCTTATAATACCCGAAAGAGCACATACTTATGTAATAAATTTCTAAGACTTACTAAAACGCGGGTCGGTACTAATTATTGGGCCATCAAATTTTTTAACATAATACCTCAACAAATTCAAAATTTTAATGAAAATAATTTTAAATCAAGGATAAAAAAATACTTGATAAAAAATGCCTTTTATAGTTTTGAAGATTTTATTGACAGTAATGTAGCTCGAATATGAATGTTATCATTAATCTTAGTAAGTCGTTTATCCTATTTATTTTAATTATATGTTGTTTATGTATATTTGTATAACAGTTAGTTGATTGCTATCATTATGTATATTGTTATTTACCACGTTCATTTTTTTTTTTTGGACGCGTGTAAACACTTTTATGTGTATGTAACACTAGCCTTTATAAATAAAAATAAAAATAAAATATTATTTGGATAAATTCCAATGAAATCATTAATTCTATTAATTGACTATTTTATGAATATGTAATGTATGTAACATTACAAATGGAATTTCATCAAAGGCAACAACTCTGGTAAATCTCATACGACCATTAATTGACCAAAAAATTAGAAACAATAAAAATAGTTCTAATTTATTGGTCAATTTAAGTGACTTTTCACTACGCGTTTGTTACTTGTCTGACAAATTGATTGACATAATTTACCAATATATTGCAAAGTGTAATTTTAAAAACTGGTATTATAAAACAGGTTCTATTTTGTATCTGTATTGTATCTGTCAGTTTTTATTTTGAGACTTTTCTACAACAGTTTTCTGGGAACATTTTCTAAAAATTAACCTCTCATCTCTGCTTTATCTCGACCACAATTAGCTTGAACTCCAAACTTCGTCCTCCACCTGGCAAATTGGACGATTTGCTCGCCGAGCTTCACATCGTGTGGAGGCACCTTTAGATAACATACCGTTAAATATTTTTTTCTGCAAGTTTTAAAACACCTGTGAAATGACTATCAATAATGGAACTGGTAAATCGTTACTGAAATTCTATAGCAATTTGCGATTCTAATAGACACCATATTTAAACATCACCTTTGCTAGGCACTTCCTTTTTCTAATATTTATTGCTAGAAGATATACGACTTTAAACGAGACCTCAAATCACCCATATGGGTATAATGACTTCCTTGTCAAATTAAGAGGAAAAAAATTAATAAAATTGATGATGGTCTTTGACCTAATTACTGTAAGCTTATGTGCAATTAGAATACACATATAAGTACTTAGTGGAGGTTAGGTGAAACAGTTAAAAATAGGTCGTTTTTTTAAGTTTATTGTAACTGTATCTCATAAACTTATAAACCAATTACAATTAATAACATCCAAATGTTACGATAGGTATTATTTTTATTTCAAATAACGTGGAATTTTGAAATTATATTCCCATCAGAGTATCAAATTCTCTTCTGCGGATTTTCTCATTTATTCAGAAGAACAATGCTTATTTTTATCAGTTACTGGATTTAATAATAAATATTCTCAATATTAATTAAGACAATTATTATTATTATTAGCGAATATCATTTCAACAGGTAATGAGACATTTTTTAATGCATTTAGCGTACATTTTGAAATTTAAAAATGATTGGACATATTTACATTTGGATCATATTAACATTAACTGTGGCATTCTATTGCGTCATTTGTTAGATTCTAGAATTCTTATATCAATGTCATAATATTTTAACCTAGCCTCTTTTCAGAACCAGATTTATAAAGGAGAAAACGGCCATGGCTTTCCAGAGTTCTAATAAAAACACATTCTGCATCACTGTTTACAATGAATATAACTGGTTTTATTACTTAACAGGTTAAACATTTTTCCAATAATTAGCATAGCTAGTATGAGAATAATAAAATTATTTAAATAATAGTCGCATTTTCTGACCGTGACTTCGTTCCATAAGTAAGAATGTACAATTTGTAATAGCTACTTAGTTTTGCATATATTATTGAAAGTATCTTAGTCGTGCATAATTTGTTTATTTAATTGATTTCGTCCTCGTAAACAGTTTAGATTCCTTTTATTATTTTCATGATGGAAACTGTACATTCAAAATGTGGAATATACTATACTTTCACTTGTTTTTTAATTGCAGTGGCCACTCGTGGTCATCTATTATGATCCGAGCGCTTACAAAACGCAATGGAGGCTAGTCTCCACTAATACCTAAAGACACCAAATGCATATTGCACTGAAACTATCAGTATGCGCATTTCTTATGTAACGTAGGCAGCAATAACTTAAATAGCATTATTTTTGCGCAATGTATAGATACGAAGATAGATATAGGTAAGATCAGATTAAGTTTTTTTTTCATTAAAAATCAACAAAAAACGCCTATGCCTGGACCTCGATCAGAGTGAAATCATGTGTCTCTAGACAGTATTCATGTAAAAGTTCATATAAATCTAGTTGGAGAAGCCACAGAGGAAACACTTCGGGAAACGCACAGTGGTCCTTCATCATCATCAATCATTTATGAGCGTAGCTGCAATTTTAGTGGCCTATAAATAGAGACAACATTAATTTTATATACATACATACATATAATTTAAAATACGTATATTTTATGTACATATACTTTAAAACTGTTTTAATTTAATTCTTCTCTTCTTTTATATCAATTATGCTGTGTATTGCTTGTATTTAAGGTTTCAAATTGCATTTTTACTATTTTCTTTAATGTTTACTGATAGACCATTTAATCGTGTAATAAATATTCAACTAATTTGCGTTTTGTCTACATCAGTCGCACAACATGTCTTATACATTAAAAAATAGTTGTAGATGGAATAAGTTTACATAATCCTGTCCTTTCAAATAGCAGATAATTTGTGCTCATTCAGACAGTCGGTAGTAAACAACTTTTTTAATGTCAATTCTGGTACATATTATTATTGCATTAACGACGAATGAAATAGTTTCTAATACATTCACTTTTTTCACAATTTTCTATTTTATACAGTAATAAAACTATCCAAAACTGTAATTATTTCTCCGATATCCAAAAAAAAAATGTAATAATGAGATCATTGTTATATATTTTTTCAATTCATTCAAAAATAAAGTTAATAACAAATATGACCTTAAATTTATGAATAATTTAAATGTTTCAATGTCATAAATTTAGTTATATTATAAATATGTACATGTGTCCCAAAAATGCAAACACTTTTTTCAAAAGCTCTTATTTTTGTACGCTACTTTGTACCCAGATATAACTGTAACGAGCTGATCGTGGTTTAAAGATGCATTTAAGAAACGTATGCATATTTTTTATTGTGCTATTCAATATTCAATATATTAAAGTTATTGCTAAAATAAATACTAAATACTAGCTTCCATTTTCGTGATTCTTCAATATTAATTACGGTTGCAGAAAAGAATATTAGACAAGAGTTGTTGCTTTTGCTGAGTTATATGCTTGGCAAAGGTTTTGGAACTTATGCATATCTGCGAAATCCTGCATATAATTATTATACCATGTTTGGTAGAACTACATTTTGCAGCAGATATGTTGACACAAAATGGTAGAACAAAACTGCCTAGTGATTTACATATTTACCATATTAGCCCCGTGGCCTAATGACATTTTAAAAATGTTTTCGAAAGGAATTGTCTCTTTCTTGTTACACAATCTACACAAAATACAAAATTAATTGCAAACCGACAAGTTAAAAAGTGAGCATTATAAGGTAGCCAATGAGCTCTTAACTCTAATTGTTAGAAAAATAGTTGAAAAAATTGTCTGAAATTGTTTATTTCATAATTGTGACGCAGTACAGTATACAGGGTGTTAGAAGTTTGAACAGTCGATAGAAGACATTAAAATAAGCAAAAAAACCTTATATGCCAACCATTTCCGAGAAAAAAATTATCAAAATCTCCAACTTGATGTACAAAAGTTGGATTAATTAAGGAATATTGACACAACTGCGTGCATAGAATACCATAAAATACAATGTTTATCACTTTTTTGAACTTCTTTATGCTTAATTCTAAAAAATAATTAGCGTTGTAATAAATTTAAATTTCGATAAAATTCATATCGAGCAATGTGACAACGGCGCGGCGGTTAACACGAGGTACTAACAATACGCAATTCAGTTGGTATCTGGAATTCGACAGTCGAGGACCTGCGAGAACGAATTTTTGCCGCTGCCCATCAAATAAGGATACATCCGGGTATTTTCCAGCGAGTGAGCGAAAATTGTTGTAGTTTGTTTTGTACTTGTGCATTTAAAAATTATTGAATTTTGCTTTTTGGTACGTACCTAAAGTATTTTTAAAACATATGATTATTTGGTCGACGTGAATCTTTGGGTACTTTTAATTACATATTTTTCAAATTCATAATTTAATTAAAAGTTCATGTTTTAAGAGATTCATAATTACTAAAATTCGAGCTAAAATTTAAGCACAACACTATACTATCTTCATACTACAAAATCGATATTTATAATTGTCTAGTTTACTAAATGTTTCGCAATAATAGTTCTTTACATTTTTGTTATTCCATAGGACAAGTCTACCGCGTGGTGTGCATCAGCTGTGTAACTTTAAGTTAAGCGCTGTTGTCAACGAAACGAAACAATTTAAAAATTTCATTAGTAACGACAGAGCTACTGTAACATTTACTCTCCGGGTTATTAAACAATCTATATAAAAGTACTTTAATTTCACAACTCGTGTTTGCATGTTCTCTTTACCTCTATATGTATATGGAAATTTACCGACATCGATAAACAGATACCTTTGTTTTTGTAAATTGAAATCTGATAATAAGAATTTTACGTAACAAAAAGATAAGTTACTACTTCAAGAATTCCTCTTTAGTCGATTCACTAGACTGTTTACTCTGTAAATATTATTCTTACAGTGTTCTAAACAGGTGAAGGTAAATCCTTTCATTTTACGGTTTACTACTTCGTTTTACCTTGGCTTTCAATTTCCGTAGGTTGTTATTTGACTAAAAAGTCAATTAAAATCGTTTCATTTAATACGATTCTTAAGTATGTTTCAAAACTTAGACGTAATAGAACATGGAATTATAAAGATAAAACTCATTTAAAACTTTGAAATTGTATAGAAGAAAACACTCTGTATAGTTTTGGTTCAAACGCCACACTGAGGGGTTTTGAGGGGATCTGATTCACATGGCCTTATAAGATTTTAAATAAAAAAATCGCTAAGTGTTTATATTGAAATTGGGGGGGTATAAACAAAATCATAGCAGGCCTTGAATCGCCTTCTTAAATGACCATCCGTGGAACGATCAGAAGAAACGGTTTTCGATGCAATTTAAAAAAAAAAGAAAAATTGTTGAATTATCTTGAATAAAGTTTTCGCGGATTTGTACATAAATAAAAGTAGACACACTGTATAATCTGTATAATCGTGTGATTTACTTATCCCAGATATTTGTTGTTTTTGAATTTATCTCCCTGGAAATTTGATGTTATCTTGAATATTAAAAAAAAAATGTAAATGTATATTTTATATTTTAGGAATACATAAAAAAACTTGTTTTTATTGTTCAGTAACTTATAATTTCAAATACGACTGTTGGTCAAAAATTTAACAACTCCTATTATCGTAAAAACTGATTTTACAAAAAGAAAATATTTATTTATTCATGTGTAGTAGTACCATTGCATTCATTATTGACAATTTTCTTGGAATGATCTGATTATTTAACAGTACCTATATAATTTTATGAACACCTGTTTATGTCCTTTTACAATGCGTATCAGGTTATGTAATGTAAATATATTTACGAGACGAGCATAATAAAAGTACATATGTGCTTGATTTGATTGTGTTTTCATAGAACAACATGGTTTCTTGAGATTCTGAGATATAATAACAATACAATATAACAAAAATGAAAATCCTAATGTTGGTAATTTGCAGAAAACAACAAATAAAATACGAATACCGAATGTGCAAAATTAAAATTGCTTTGCAAGTTAATTTATTGAAACAATTAAGGGTGTTCTTAGTTTAGAGGGAAATGTTTTTGTTGATAAATATCAAAGAATGACAACTTCTTGAACAAATAATATTCTCATTTACTTACTTTGCTGCCCTAGACCAATTCCTCAAACCTTTTGGTCCATTTTTAAACACTTCCTCTGCAGTCTCTGCAAATCCTAAACTAGGTATTTTTGACTTTTTGCACATTTCTTGAGACGCTACAACCTGAAACAAATATTTAATATATTGTACTGCTAGGAGAATGTTTCGTTCAAAAAATGAGAAAAAATAAATACTCAAAAATTGGTTGTAATTTATACAGGGTGATTTAAAACTCAGCACAAAGAATTTAGGGGCGTATTTTTGAGGTCAAAGATTTTTTCCTATAAACGTGAGCCCACAAATGCTTAGTTTTCGATATATAGGATGTTAAAGTTTTTTATTTTATTTTTTTGATTTTTTAGGAATAATTTCCAAACATATTTGAATGTTGGCATAAAACTTGGGGAACAGGGGTTTTTTAGGATGCTAAATTTAAATATGTCATAGGTTTTGACGTTGTTTGTAGAGGACGCCACCTATAAGGGTACGCTTGAATTAAATTGGCCCTAACTTTTTTGCTACCCTGTCCATTGACGTTTCGTATTAGTGCGTTTATTCCCCTATCAATTTTAAGCAAAAAATATATACCTGGTCGAAATCTCTCAGGCCAACAGTTTCCGAGATATTGGCCGATGAAGAGTTAAACGCACAGCATATTTTCAAATTTTATCAACTATTTACCGTGAAAAATTTTATTTACCATCTAATCAGTAATCCAATGATCTTGAATTTTAGCTCTTTACATTTTTTTGATAGAACCGTTTTCGAGAAATTCACTGCTGACTTAATGGAAGTATTATTGTCACTAGTCAGTAGTGATTTTGAATCACCCTGTATATATTATATTTAATGTATCTCGAAATGTTTCCCTTATATGAGGAAACTGGTATAGGAGGTGTCCGGAAATTAATGGGCCATACTTCGAAGAAAGCTCCTCTAAGTGAAGATATCTTATCTTGGTAAATTTTTCTTCCTTTTTATAAGGTATTTTATATATTATAGGCAAAACGGTCTTTAAAATTAATAGTAATCGAAATTGTTTTAAGACTTATTGAGTAACTCTTGAATTGTCTGGAATTGTCGACATTGTTGATTGTCTGTTAGCTTTTTGTACCCTTTTTTGTAGCAGAAAAATTGCTAGTTCTGGTAATCATCATTCATCAATTCTAATTAATGTAATGTAATTGCAATTTCTTTTTGTGAAAGGACAGTGTGCCTGTTATGTATGTATTAATAAGGTCGAATAAACGATATAAAATCGATTGATTTCCATCCATATAACTTGTCCTTGAATTATAACCTATTCGTCTCCAAATACCCTGTAGAGAAGACAAAGTTTATATAAAGTACTCAACAAATCCTTTTTAATTTTTCTGTTTGTGTCTGAATAATTCTTCTCGGTATTTTAGGCTAGACATACTAAACATATTACTTACTAGTATGTGGATGGTGTGGGTACATATGAATCCTATGAGAATTGTTCCTATAAGTCCTACCAACAGCCCAGCATTTTTAAAAGCTCTAGGTATTGCTAAAATTCCTGTACCTAATGAACTTTTTAATAAGTGAATAAGAGCACCAGAAAACCTGAAACAAGATTCAAATTTTTTGTAATATCGGCATTAAAAAAATTTATTGTAGTTATTAAACTTGGATTAATGTCTTAGCTAATTATGGACAAACATTTCCTTAGTTGTCACACGCAACTACTAGGAAATATCGTCAGTAGAAACCCTAGAATTTTGAAAATTAGATAACTGCATTTAATTCAGCTGTAGTTTTCAAGAAATACAATATTTTTTATTTTATTTGAAAAACGAGTTATTTTTAAAATGAGACTATGACATACTTGAGTAAATCTAAAATAACTCCAAAACGTCACAAAATAAAATTAAGGGGACGTTATTCAACTATGTCACAGGCTTATTTTAAATTAAAAAAATTGTTCGCTTTTCGAATTAAATGGAAAATATTTTTTTAGCTGTACCAAGTACCAACTCGGCTAATTTTTGCTCGTAATTAATTAACGCAAGTTTCATCTATATACGTCGAGATTCTTAAGATATATTTAAGTATTTTTTTTTTAATTTACACATGAATCTCGAAAATGAAGCATTTTCGGATACATTCTAACACCTTTTTTTATATTTATAGTTTATAAAAAATGCCAATGTTTAATGAAATATTTTATTACTCTTTTTAACACAATTATAATTCTTTTCTAAATATGAAGTGATTTTATGTCTTATATAGTTTAAAAATGTAAAAATACAAGCATTCTGTTGATCTAAATAGACAACAGGTTTTATACTGCTATTGAGGTTAGAAAATCTACATTTGAAAAATAAAATTGAGCTGCGATTTAATTACTCGGCTCGGAAGCTTATCAAGCTGTCACTCATCCATGATGCTGTTGAGTGAATGGTATAGTTAGTATGTTAATAACTCTAATAAGAATAACTTTATCAGATTTATTTTTTCTACAAATGAAATTGAACCAGGCTCATAAAATAGTTACCCTAGATATCGATTCTAGGCCATTGGGTTCTAATAGTTAGAGTCTTATGAACATCCCAAAATAAACAGCTATGTACTATGCAGTAAAAGACGGTTCCGCAAATATCGCAACAGTGAAGAAGTTGTTTAACTGAGGTAAACAACCTGTCCTCAACAGGACAAAATAGTTTCTATCGTTTACTTGATTATTATTGCCAGGCCGATGATGTGTTTTCAGTGTCATCGACTGTTTAGTTGTTTTCCGCAAATGTCATTTATTGATGTGCGGTATAAGTGAAAGCAGAAAAACCCCAAATCTTTGTTTTGTAGATGGACTTTTAATAAGCATAATAAAAATAATTTTAATAGGAAATGAGAAATAAATGATATAAGAATAAACTATAAATAAACTTATGGTTTTTCAAATTTAGTTTTCCTGTGGAAACTATTTTTATAATTTCATACTTCTCGGAATCAACACACCGATTAACACATAACTTTTTGGTTTTTGTATACTTAGCCTTATTTGTGAAAATATGTATATACGAGACATATCCACAAAGTAAGAGTACTGAGACTCTGATGGTCTGTAGTTTTTGTTTTCGACAAAATTGACAACACTGCATTCAAGGCCAAGGTATTGGAATCATAACACGCGCTCATTTGTCTAAGTCAGTTGAGAACTGTTGTTGTAGTGGCGTGTTGAAATGAGTGCCGCTATTGAGAATATCGTCAGGTAGATAATTCCTTGACTGTACTGTGACTGGCGACGAAACGTGAGTGGCCCACTACATCCCTGAGATGAAAAGACTATCAATGCAGTAGCGACATCCATTTCATCAGCAAAAAAAATCAAATCAAGTCCTGACCTGGCACCTTCTGATTTTCATCTCTTTTCTTCTCTGAAAGTGTTTATAGATGGAAAAAGCTTATCTACCGGACGATGAAGTCCAAACTGCCGTGAAACAATGGGCCGAGAGGCGGCGGGAAATTTTTTTTGTCGAATGTCAAAGCTTATTCGTCGGCTAACCAAGTGCATTGAGGTTAAAAGCGACTACATCGAAAAATAGTGTTTGATGTATCTTTCCAAATACGTAAATTTTTCATAAATATGTAGGTATATTGTCATTTCGATTTTTTAAAAAATTGAGTACACTTTGTGGATATGCCTCGTATATATGGATTTTATGTAAGAATTTTACAGACAATACAATTCCCTTATCAAGTTATCCCTTATCAAAATTATTAAAACATCCTTGAGGATGCTCTTTGATAATACAAACAGTGGCACCATAAAACTATTAAAATAATTCCATTTTATAATTAAATCTACACCTTCTACATGATCATCAAAGGTGTCATTCAGATTGTGCCACAATTTCGGATTTAATCTCTTAAAATATTTACTTATTTTATCTCCAGTAGGTAATGAATTTTGACTGCCATTATTTAGATTCTGTAATTAATGTCTCATTTGTACATTTCTACATCTATATATCAATGTAATATGATGATATACACAGTGTTTCTAAAATATAGTAGAAACTGAAACAGGGGATAAGACATTTTGTTTCGAGTAAAGTTTCCTGTGAACATGTGCCCGAAATCATGTTGTAGGGTAATAAACCACATTTTTTAATAACTCCAAGATGTGGGTGAGATATAATCTATAAAGTTTATTATATTTTACTTGTCACTGTTACTCAGTACCTACTAGAAGCAATGACAACGACGTTTTTGGTGCACCTTTATTACTATTGTAAAAGTATTAAACTCAAAATATGTATTTTCCTAAAAAAGTCCTATCAAAAGAAATCAAACAGTGTTCCTTTATAACAAAAATCTTGTTTAGTATTGCAGGAAGCATCTTTTCTATCATCTACATTGATTTACACCAGCCATATCAACTAAATAGAAAGATTTTACTATATCCACATTTTATTAGGATTGTTTCTTTAGGTAGAACACTGTTTGGTTTCTTTTGGAAGAATTTTTTTACGAAAAACTATTTTAAATTAGCCTAATACTTGTATGATAAAATAAAAATGCGTTAGCTAATAATAAGATATAAATATATTGAAATAAAACACCTTTATCAACCTGTAAATATTTTCGGACCCTTATACAAGTAAGGCTGTCAGAAAGAGCCGCAATTTAATGGCGTGCCAAGCGGGTCAACCGAGAAATGCGCGATTCGCTGCCTCAGAATGCTTTTCACGTTTAAGTCGCGTTAGTATAATGTTGCGTGCGGATGTTGCGTAATTAATTCTTATCCGTTGGTGTTTATGGTGGTGTATTGTAGACAATTTAATTTGTTGCTTTTTAATAAATAATGCTTTAGATTGGTACCATATTTTAGAAATACTTTCCTTCATGTTCCAAATTATGCATATGTGATTAAGTATGACGCAAACCACTGTCAGTAATTAAAAAAAAAGTAACATCTACGTGACGTAATCAGAAGGTTGTTATTCTGCAGAACTACGTGTATTCCTGCTTATCATGTATTCAGGTCAATGAATCTAAAATGGTCCTCTTGTGCAAAACCATTGACGGTTTTTCCACCTCTGTAAACGTGACCTTTACATATCGTGTATGTCATCACAGTCATCAATCGCTGCAAGCTAAATCGACGGTGAATTTTTAGTGCAGTAATTTTGCTATTCCTTTTACTTAGCGTGTTTCTGCATAATTGAAACGATTGTTTTTAAAAGACAAAAATGTTGTGTAAAAAACGGCGTGTAGTCGAAAAAAATCGATTCTAGAACATTGTCGGTGGAAAATTGCAACACTGTGTACAAATTTAATATGTTTATGAAAAAAGTAGTAATTTAGTTAAAGTAATAACTTTAATTCACAGATAAATAATATTTACCATCGAAAAGCATGTACTAGAAAATCTTACAATTCATTTGTTACTTAGAATATCAGTATGCAACAGGTTTCTAATGGATGTAGAAAGTCAAGATATAAAAACTTAATCGATTCATGCAAGAATAGTGAAGGATCTGAAGAAAAGTGATTCTCGAAACAAGTAAAATAATGTATGGAAAATATTAAAGTTAATTTAATCTTCATTGTATATTTTGCAGATTTGTTTACTACTTTTCAGCAGAGGAATTATTTTATCATTAATATTGGCATTATATACAGGGTGATCCACGGTGACGAGACATTAGGCATATTTCAAAGACTACTTCGATTTTAATTTTGAAAATTGTGCAAGAGTGTTTTCGGGCAGCTCTCAACTAAAATAATGGCGTCCACCTAACGCTTCCCAAGTTGAGTTGACGAGAGCGATAAAATTTATAGAGGACATAACTAAAACTCTAAGCTTCCCTGTCATAATTTCAAAATGACTTAATTTCATACAGGGTAGTAGAAATTTAATGACTAATTAGTCAACTTTAAACCATCTTAATTAATTTTTTTTAAATGTAACACCCTGTATATTTTTACGCAACCTGATGAACAATTCTATTCTCTTTCGAATAGTATAATGGTTCCCTATACCTATCTCTTCTGGTTTTTAAGGTATTTACTGTTTTTCGGGCAGTCAACGGATATCGCATAATTTCTTGCGAGGATGGCTGTGAAATTTTTAGTGGAACTTCAAAACGAGCTTTATAAAGTCCATTTACAACTTTATTACAATACCTACTGTCATATCATTAGATAATTTTTACAAATTTTATTGTTTTCAGACGTCATTGCCTTGAGTCGGATCACATCCAGCTTATGAATTATTAATGATTCCAGTTGATAAATATACATATATTTTTTTAATGAATTATGTTAATTTTATTGGGTACGGCAACATACGCATGCTACCAGGAAGCAAATGAAATGGAACATATCTTTATGCTGTGTTCATACGTCGTTTTATTTTATGATTATCCGTTGCACTTGATTATGGATTGTAGAAAAGTAATTTACATAATTTTCTAAAAAATGGTACTGATGTCAGTGTTAAAGTTAAAGCATTACAGATATTATTAAGTCATTGGCGTAGAAGTTGGGGTAAGAAAATCCCACTTTACCACCCATTATTACGCCACGGACCTACAAAAATTTTACAGTAAATTATACACATGTGTAAATGTTAACACCACACCAAATTTGAATCAATTTGTTATAAGTATACCAAAGATTTCATAAATAATATGATTTTAAAAACCGATCAGTACGGCCCTGTACTATGAAAACGGTGATACTTAGACCCTTGTTTTACGAGACAATTTTGAATTATTTATTGAGTTCTATTTGTTGTTCACCCGAACTGTAACACCCTGTATATGATTTTTCGCGTTTTTTGACAAAAAACTACCAATGAAAATGCATTTTTTCTAAAAAGAGTTTCATGTAAAGTTGCTCAAAATAAACTTTCCCACAAAATTATCCCTATGAAAAATGTTCGATTTTCCCAATAGTTTTCCGGTATATTTTTTAAATGAAGTACAGATTATGTGAAAATTAATATTTTGCAACCAAAATAATGGTCAATTCATTTTTAAATAACAAGTGAATTGGAGAAAAGAAAATTGCGGAAAATTCTTAGAAAATCTTATATGTACTTATAGTTTTCCCAGGTTTGAATATTTATTAGCATCATTAGGATCATTTTATAAGTTTTCGAGGGTGTACTGTATATTACGAATTAATGTATGCGCTTTTTAATATTTTTCAGAAAAGTCTGTTTAATTTTGAATAATTTTTATTTGATTTTATTTTTCGAAAAATGCACCTTCATTGTGGTATTGGCAGTCTTTGGTGAAAAAACGCGAAATATCATATCCATTACTCAAAACGCTGTATGTATGCTGGTGGTTGCATGTGTGACATATATAAAAAAAATTCAGTGTAAAAAAGTTCGCTTATTCCGTCTTTTTATGGCTAACTTTCCTGGACTATTACTATTATCCATTATTTTTCAAAAAAACATTCTTAAAATCGTCACGGACGACCTTTTTCAAAACAATCACTACTTACGTGTTTGGATGTTCTAACATCCTGTGTTCATAGGGATTATACTCCTTTTCGCCAATCTTATCGGTACTTGAAACTGGTATCTTGATTTGATCATTGTTTGCTAATGTTGCCCTGGAAACAAGAAGAACGATTTATCATTTTCATTCGTAATTCAAGTGGGTAATAAATCAGATCAATAATATGCGTATGATTAAATATATTTAGGAATTGTACGTTACAGTTACCTACAGAGTGGTCAGCTTTGAGTTGGATGTCTAATAGTATATTACGTAATAAGTGTTGTAAAAAGCATTTTACGCGCGAATGGAAATGTTACGCACGACGCCGCGTAGCGACAAGTGCGTAATTCTATGAGTGCGTAATTGCATTACACCACGTATTACGTACTATACTTTACCTACGAGCACTACTGTAAATAGTTAAAAACACACTGTCTGCGATCAATGTAAGATTCCTATTACGTACGGTAAAAAAATCGCACAGCTTGGTAAAAAAATCGTACAGTTTTCCTAGCAACGGTCAATACAAACAGTATTGTATTGGTGATGTTGAAATAATGACAGTCAAACTTCTTACACCCTGTATACATTTCTATCAGTGTAATGGCAACATAATATGATTTGATAAATATTTATGTTCGGTATGCAGCAATTTTATTTTTTGTTATTTTTACTTTTATACAGAGTAAAAACAAAAGTTAACAATTTTATTAGTGAATAAGCAGTAAAATTACATTTTATTACTATTTTTATAATTGATATTGGCTTTATAGCTTGCAGAAAATATTATTGTACTGCTTGTTTTCATTTTAAATTCTAGTACATTTTAAGAGGCGTGTTTATTTCAAGGCAATATTTTGCTTTTTTTATTATCCATTAAATTTGAGGATAATAATGTTCCAACCGATTAACTTTCAATTTAATAAGTAACGATGTTATAGAAGTGCAAATTTACAGTCGCAAAATATCGAATGAAATAAATGAATCGAGAATAGGATACATTAAATATTGGTACTTTGGAAATTACTTACTTAAGGGATAGGAAAAACGCTTATTTGGGCAAAGTTTTAGACCATTCTGTTGCCATTTTAGAAAAAGAAAGTTTTAAAAAAATGATAATGGATTCTCAAAATCACAAAGTTGAAAGTAAAATCTAAATCCACAATTAAATTCGGTACGAGAGTTGCTGTAATAGACTTTTATTCATATTTCAAGAATTCGTAAAAAAATAAGTAAATTTTTTAAAGTTCTCTCCAGAACTTGAATAGCATAGCCGGTCAGTGAGCTCCATTAAATTAGTAAGCGAATGGTCTAAAAATTTTCCCATTTAACCATCGTTCTATCTCTTATAATTTTTGAGATCCCAATATATGTTGCAAAATACTTACGTAGAGCTAAAGTTTTCTATCGTAAACGTTGAGGGATATTTTTCTTTTGTTTCGTCCATGTTGATATCTGAAAAGTAGAAACATTTATTAGTAACTTAGGTAAATAGCTACATGTAAAGCTGGTAAGATTAAAATTGTGTTGAATTATAGAATAATATAACTGTTTTATTTTTCAGAATTTGCTATGCGGAATAGTAACTTTTAATTTTGTTTATCATATATATGAATTGCATAAAATACAAGCTATTTCTGTTGAAATTTCTCTGAAACCTCAAAAAATACTTTGTAACAATTAATTAATAATTAAGGACTTTCAGACTATCTTTAAACACTTCCTCTGGAATAATTTTCAGAAAATTGGTCGTATTCTGTTGAAAGTATTCAATTGAACTCTAAGGTACTCTTTTTAAAAGTAACTTTAATCTTGTAAGTATCTTGGAAATCAATAGAAACTAAAATTGGCAGTTTAATTATAAGCAGATTTGTCTTTTCTACTGAAAATGATTTAATATAACCAAGTAGAACTTAACGTCTCAACCTTTAGAGACGTACTCATGGCGAATAATGAATATTATTCACAATAAAGAACAGTAGTCACAGTGGTGATTAGTCATCTATGTCCCCCACTATCACAAACTTGTGGATAATTTGAAAACACTTTTGCAACTCATGACAACTTTGTTTTCATTATCAATAAGCAGTTTCAGTGGCAGTTTTTCTCAATTTAAAACAGAAATTTAATGTTTTTTTAGGCCATTGTGGGGAATATACAAAGGATTAAAATATTCCGTTAAATCTAAGGTCATAATTCATAACAAACACAGCAGCACTTGGTGATGAACTGCTAAAACATTTTAATACTTAACGTTGGTACAGAGACAGTGCTGCAGTGTATAGATACGAACTTGCTTTGATGTCATCAATAGTCTGAAAACGACGTCCTTTCAGCACTGATTTTAATTTCGGAACTAAGAATCGCAAGGAGCCAGGTCTGGTGAGTAAGGAGGGTTAGGGAGGACAGTAATCTGTTTTTGGTACAAAACTGACGAGTTGACAAAACTGAGTGTGCGAGCGCGTTGTCCTGGTGCAAGAACCATCAGTTGTCTCGCTACATCTCTAGTCTCTTTGCTAATCCATTGCGATGATTGAACGTTTGTCTCAATGTCGTAGCCGTAAACTCAGTTTTCGTCTCCCGTTATGATCCTTTGAATGAAACGAAGAACAAATTTTACTGCAACTCGGTGCAATTGAAATACTAATCTCTTCTACAATTTCTCTGACAGACAATCGGCGATTTACACGCATCATATCTTTGACTTTCTGAACATGGGTGTCATCCGTTGAAGTCTAAGACCTTCCTGGTCGAGGATCATCTTCAGTTGACTGACGGATCGTAAAAATAATTCGTAAAATTGCGTAATGACCCAGATCATCATCTCCGTTAGCTTGTTTCAAAAGTTGACAAAAGTTTTCCCCAGTTCCACGCACAATTTTATGTTGCATCTTTGTTCCAGAAAATCCCAGATTTCAAAAATCTCACTAACATTTAAACACTTTGCACTTAAATAATAATATCACGAAAACTAAATGAGATATCAACAATCCACCAACGTGTAGTTACAGAGGATGCGCAACGCAATGCTGCAAACCGTATATCAGTAATTATCCCCGTTGGCGTATAATTCAAAAAGTTTAGTTATTTTCTGAACAGACCTCGTAAAGTAGTCACTTTTTCACTATGACACACTGTACGTATAAAAGGGATCGAATTGGCTTCAAAATTAAAATTCTGATTTTTATAAAGATATTGACCAATCTGTACAAAAACGCAGACTAGATTGAGTAAAGCTCTCTCTGTGATCCTGTAAATGTTTATAAGATACACACGTCCAGGTTATGAGTCCATCTTTCTCTAAGTTAATTTGTCTATTTAAAACGTAAATCTAGAATAACGACGACAGGATTGTATAACCTTTAGAACATCATTTGTTAATATTATATTAAAATGATATTGTTTGATAAGCGGTGCCATTATGTGATCTTGACTATTATCAACTTTATATCTTTGTTTCAACGAGTATTGGCCCTTGTAAATTAAGATTTCATGTCAATCAAAATATCTATGATTGAACACTTGACTGATATGTTCATAAATTTTTATTCTGAGAAATCCGAGGACATGAATTTAAAAGCAGAATTTTCCCAGAGTATATATGAATGCTCTTATTTCGCCAACCAAAGCACTACTTTGTGCACGTTCTTAATGTTTATACTAACATTAATATATCAATATTAACTGGGGCCCATTAACAACAATGTCAATGTGCCTTCAGGTCGAATCTGTCGATCTATCCTTAGCATAACTCCTGCCATCGAGTTGTTCGTTCTTTTTCTCTTATCCTGCGTCGGTTCTCCAGAGAGTTCTTCCCATTACATGTGTATTCGTTCTGTTTATTTTATCTGTACAAAGTCCAATAGACTACTAGATGATATTTCGTTTAATATTCTTGTATTCAAGAAATGTTTAACGGGGAGGTTGAATCTTTGGTATTCGCGCATTCATCCAAGATGTACAACAGCTGTTGGAGAACATTAAGACCAAGGACTGCTGTCAGGTTTAAGTAAAATATATCTGAACAGTATTTTATCAGCTTGATCTTCTTCCATACTCAGAATTTATATGACGAAACATTTAATATTTCCTTTACTTGAGTCTGCTTTGGTATTGAATCCTTATCCATCTCATCGGAATGACAAATAATGCCTTGGAAAACTGTTTCCATGTTTCAGATCTTTCTTTTGCAAGTTTTCCATTGCCTTCAATGCATTGATATCCAACGTAGCTTAGCGAACTGCTATTTGTCAAATCATTTAGCAATTATAAATAGCCTCAAAATAGTTTTGAACTCGTTCTATTTAAGTCTAAGGTCTTTATTGCAAACTGACGAGTATTCCTCTATCTAAATTATGTGCTACATGGGCCTTATTCCTACAACTCCTGTTTCATTGTCTATTTTGGAGCCAATACCAAGATCCATTTTCCAGTGCATTGCGTGACAACTTCCATTCTCTTCGATTTACTATTTGAGTGTCGAAAAGTTTATGGATGTTGATTTTTTAAATCAATCCGTCACATTTCATCTCCAAAATTAGTTTTGGCCACCAACTCTTCATGATTTTGTTGTTCCTTTCCTGCAATAATAATTATTCCTGATGTCATTCCTGCTGCGGCACAATCCGAAGTTATGGCAGATTTAACAAAAGTTTCAAAAGGTAGCTGTTATATCTCAATTATCTGATAATTATTCAAATTCATGCATCGTTTACATTTATTACAATAATATAGGATATAAACTTGATTATTTATATAATATTTTCCGTCACTTGATAACATCAAATATTGTTAAATTATTTCTACGAGTTGAAACAAATGTATAAATCATAAATCGTCGTCATAAAAAAAATTCCGATATAATTTTCCATATCGAATCAGGAACTAATTTTGCAGATTAAGACTTTGTTCGGTATATATTTACACAAAATCCACGTACACAGTCACTTTTCATAAACATCCCTACTGATATCAGTTACATTTATTTTGTCGATTTCCGATACTGTAGGTACGTACTTATATTTTATCATATTTCGCATTTATTCTAATGGTCAAAGACCGGACAGCTGCTGAGTTATTGACCTTGAAAGTACCCACTATAAAGGCCATAAAAAGCCTTAAATAAGTACTTGTTTTTTGTAAACTATCAAAATTGCAGAGCAAATTTAAGCTCTGCAGCATACGGAATCTCACTTTATGAGCTGTTTAAAGGCAGAAATGAATTCCATTTGTTACATTCTTCATTAATCTTTTATTATTTTTCTGTTTTACGAATTAATACTCCTTAGAAGTTAAGTTTTGAAAAGATTTACCTCAGATCGCATGTTAATGAATATCCGTAGATTAACTTGCTACTCACGTTTCAGTGTGGTTAGATTTCAATGGTTTTTACATTTTGTAAAGAAAGCGTTTCCAAATAATAATGTTCTGATATTTAGTTACTTACTTTCTTTAGCAGATATCTGTTTTTGTAGCATATACAGTTCAATGACTGTTGAGAATAAGCGTATTTTGTTTTGGTAAGTAAATGTCTTTTCGTTAGCGTCGTATTCCACAACTCATTATCATTATTTATTTTTTGTTCACTAATTTGAGAATAACTTGACAACAAAAAAAATATCAAACCCTTTTTGGCGTCAAAATGTATCTATTTTTATGCTCTTCAAACTAACCTATAAAAAGTTTATGCGCAATGAATCCGGTTATCCATATTTGCACTATTTAATATACCTGAATAGGAAACATTTCTGAGCAAAATTCAACTTTATGTTTTGGTATGTATATTGCGCCCTCTCGCGGTCGACTATTTCCAGCGGTTTCTCTTGTTGATTTATTGATCAAAAACAGTGGTTATTTATCATACTTCCTGACGTAGTCCAGATCAGAAAAGTAACAACCAGAAATTAATAGAAGAGTTTTTACTACTTCTGATTCAGCGTGCTTCCGTATTTTGTTAATACCCTGTATATGTATATACATTATAGACACATTTGAAATCATCCTACAGTATTATTAACAAAATCGCTTCAAGCTGTTTCTGGTAACTTTCTGTTAAAATACATTATAAAATGTTGAAGCAATTCATATTCCATATATTTAATTTACACTGAGTTGAATATGAAATAACGGTTGTAAACACAATTCTGCAACATTTACCGTTTACTTCATAGAATGCTTCGATAAATACTCTTTAATAAATGATTACCAAGTGCAACGAGTATAACACAGTCTAAATTTGGTGGTATTTGATGATTTGAAAATTTTCTGAAATCTGAAACTATTGGAGATGGATATATCTAAATTACCTGAATATTTTTGAATAGTATTGGCTCAAAAAAGCTTATAAATTACTTTTTTCAACATAGCTATAAATAATATCGAAAATTTGATGGTTCCTTCAGTGATGTTTTTACGAAGTTTATTTCTTATCATGATTAGTTGGTAAGTATTTACGTATATGTATAAGCAGATATTTAAAATAAAATATATGTATCTACTAAAAAACCAATAAAAATTATCAGCAAATAAGTGGATACATATAAACATTTGTTAGATAAATTATTAACTTGTATAAATTAATATTATATGATTTATTCACACAACGATTTGTTATAAACATAAATTGGTTAAGATGAGGTGACTATATAACAAATAACTGATAAAAAAATAAAATAAATTAAAATTTGACGCGAAAAATAAATGTTTTAAACGGGTATTTGCTACCACGCTAATTCGTAACGTCATTTAGTGCGATCGAGAAATGAGAAGATGTATGACAGGGATAGTACAGCCTGACAGCAAGAACAACAGTCTAGAGACAGCCAAATTCAGTTTGCTTCGAGGCTTTTCGCGTTTGCATTTTGTCGACATGGGAATTGTAGGCGGCAGGCCGAGAAGTACCTACGTTGTGTTCTCGGTCGCACTAAATGACATCACACTGCATCTTTGATCGCGTGACAAAATTTAAGTTTTCACGTAATTTTAAACATCTGTAATTATTTTGTGGTATTAATGAAAATTAATTTTACCAGCGCGAAGAATTTAAATTTCCATGCAGTTACCTGTATATATCTCCTTCGTGAGAGCAATGTTAACAAAATGTTGAAATTGGGATAAATGCAAGTACCTACCTAGATCTACTAAATAATACAATGAGTTGTAACCAGCTACATGATTTTAATCATCAAAAATTACGTCAGATTAATGTAAATGTTTGACGGTTAAAAGTTGGCCATGGAGAACTAGTTAACCACAAAATATCCTTGTACGAAGTAAACAATGATTTTTTTTCCAACTTAATCAGACGCATGAATATTACAGATGGATACAGTTAATTTTTAAAAGGAGTGTGTAAAAAGGGAAAGCTGCGAGAAAATATATTTTTTAAGAAAACTTTAACACCGTAGACATATAGCAAACCATCGCCTACTTTTTTGATAATGTTCTTCTTCCTAAAGTTAGATTAATAAAAGTGAAATTGCCCATTTTTTTAAATTTTTTATAAAATATGCGTACTGAAAATTAATAATCGTTACGTTGGTTTCATTAAACATGCACTGTATATTACTTTTTAAGAATTTTTTACTTTTACATGAAATGCCAATTTAAATAACTCATATTTTTCGATTCTACTAGTGACAATTGGGAATGCTCGAATTTATGAACAGTAAATAGAAATACACAGTAATTGCCTTAAAATTACCGAATGATTTTACGTAAATTTTGTCTTTATGTCATGTATATATGTACATATCCTTATGTATTAATTGAACTTAAGCGTGAGCATGGTACCGATGGAATACCTATTATAATTATGATTTCCTTGGCCTACTTACTACTCGTAGTTCTAGTTCTAGGTGGATGAGTATTATGTAAAAATGATACACCTGAAATTAATCGACAGCAACAAATTCAAAATGTTACAATTTCCTATAACTGTTGCATACATCTAATGATGATTTAATTGTTAATTGTTAGAAAAGTATGTGATTTCAGAAAACGTTTTTTGTATTTTAGGTTAATTAATTCCATTTTAGAAAGGTAGATTAAAATTTAGAATGCTCCGTAACCTTTATTTCAGAAAACTTCAGTTATATTTCTGAGAGCATAAACTGTTTTTCAAAAACCATTTATACTTTAGAAAATATCAAATGTATTTCAAACAGTTTACTATTAATTGTATGCAGTAATTTAGAATTATGAAATTCATATGAATGTTTTTTAATTTTAATTTGGTTATGTAGTCGAAGAACAATGACGCATAAGTGACATGTAAATGGGGGAATAAACTCATAGGCATAGTATAAATCCATTCATACAGGAACATAGTAATACCTTGCGCAACTTGGTAAATAGTTTTTTCCTTTTTCTTAAACGCTTCTGATGAATGCATGATATTTTACATTGTTTCTAAGGAGTTCATGTAAAATTGTAAAAAGTACGAACGTTTATGGCAGTTTTATTTTATCGCTTATCAGGCTTTTAAGGGTTCTGAAAATAAAATTAAATAAATAAATCTCTAGAACACATTTTGCCTAATGAGAACATATCGAATTTAGATGGTTCTAAACCTCTTACACTTTCGTTATCAAAATTAATATTATATCTGATATAAGTATTATAATTTACCAGATGTGATATTAATATGCATTTTGTTTGTCTACCTTTATGCTAGGTATATTATTACATACGAGATATCAGACAATATTTGTTTTATTAATATGCTAATCAAAATTGAAGCATTAATTTCAAATGAACATTAAACAAAATTATACCGGTGTGAAAACAGCAGCCCAAGATAGCAGCCGAAACGCACGAAGATAACCGAAGCGTCAGTAGCGTACGTTGGCCATAGGCAACGCTGCGCTCGGCGGTAATTCCTATGAAATTAATATATCTTACGAGTGTTGCTATGACCTATATATTTCTCTACACGGTAGGTTAGTAATGAGGTAAAGACTACACCAATTTAAGATTTATGAACTTATTGACCTGCAANTACTGACGCTTCGGTTATCTTCGTGCGTTTCGGCTGCTATCTTGGGCTGCTGTTTTCACACCGGTCAAAATTATGTGGTATTGTCTGTAATTGTTTGTGGAATTTTTTAGTACTATTTATTCATTTGGAAAAGAGAAAAAACTAAACAAAATAATATTTTTTTTAGTTTAAATTTAAAATGTATTAGATTAATACTCGTAAACAAATTTGGCAGCGATAATACCAGAAATAAAAATGAAACAATGCTTGGCGTATTTTTTTATTACCATTATTATATTGACAGTCGCTCTTACGTCTTATGTAAACAATACATTTTGAAAATACATCCTTTGTTTTACTAGATTCTTTGACTTAATGTACACTTATTATATTATACAACGATAATTGTTTATGTACTCTAAAGAAATATTCTAGTAATATATTCTCATTTTCGCTAATTAACAACCTCGCAAATTTCACAAAACACCTCTTCATATTGATATATTTGCATCGATATACACAAAATATATTCAAATGGAACCATTAACAAAATTGTTTTATAGAGTGTTCTGTTTTGATTATAATTATACAACACCTATAATTCTATAATTTTGAAACACTCTTACTTCTATAATCAGATTTTAATTAATAAAATGAGTTTTAGTCGAAAACTAGCAATGCCTTAATTGACTTACCTTTACATTTGTTTCGGTTGCTACTGCATAATATAATCGATATAAGTAAAATCACAATAAATAATAGGTTCCGCAATGAAAACTACTTTCACGTAAAAACTTGAGTTCAGCAATCGAACTGGCGTATTGTACCTACTGGAAAAAACAATGAAATTGGTTATTAACTTTATCGTGAAGTGTGTAAAATTATTAAAAGCACCATTAAAGGTATCTTAACATTAAAGATAAATTAATATTTATCTTCGCCATAATACATAAATATTTGATTCATGACTAGGATGTTCCGAAGGAATAAAAATAATTACCGACATGAAATCACGAAAATGCGTTTGCCAGTAAAATTAAATGCCGTACTCAAAAGTTGATATTCATGCAGCAGATAATAAAATATGTAGAAATAATAACGCAAGTCGTAAATAAACATACGCAAAGTTCTGAGTCCATAAAATGTGTACTTACAGATTTTTCCCAAGATGAAGTTAATCCAAAAAAATTATTTCACTTTCATACAGCCACCACAAAAATTCGCCGAAAATTTTTTCTCGCGATAATTTCAAATCTGCAACAAGCCGGCACAGCGAAAGAGAAATTTCTGCTTATCCGATTATTACGAAATGGAAATAGGTAATATCGGTAATTATTCCATTCGTTTATTTATCGCGATTTACCCACTAACACGATAGTTTACATTCATGGTCGACATGTAAAGGTACCGACAGATTGGCGAGTTACCATCGCACTAAGTAGTGGTACCTGTAACAGTGACAGTATATAGATATATGTATAAACATTAAGAGATTTCACATTTATTATCGCAGATAGTGGCGAAATGAGCGTGTCGCAGGTAAATTGGTGGGAACGACTTGCTTCTGATTCTGTGAAGTGCTATCGATAGCGAGGAAAGAGAAATAGTAATAAAGAACAAAGTGTTTGGGAAATAAAATGTAATTTTTAATTTCTCGGGTTTAAATTTACTTTTAATACCTTATACTGAAAAAATTTAATAATATTACATCGCATTTACCCTCACTACACTGCCCCACAAAAAAAAGTTCTGTATGTCTCTGGTACAGAACTGTTTTTTTTTGTTTGTTATTTAAATTTGATATACAGGGTGTCCCGTAAAGTATGTTACAAACTTTGGGTGGTGATAGTACATAAAAAAAATGACTAAAAACTCTAATAAACATAACCTCTTAAACGCACCATTTTGAAGTTACAGACCTTCAAAGGTGCAACTATAAAAGTAGTTTTTATGACGTAACTCTTTGTTGGAAAAAGAAAACTTAATGAAATTTTCAGGGGCTAATCAGCTTTAGGAAATCAATAAATAATGCGGATATGAATAAAATCGAGAAAGCAGAAGGGTGTTTTTTTATCACCCTGTATCCTATTTTTTGCTAAAAAAAATTTTTCTGCAAAGGTACAGCAAGTATCATAAGATTTTTAGAAAGACCATTAAATTTAGAAATTTTTTTGTCTCTTGTGTTTTTTATGTAAAATGTTTAGTTTTCTAGTAAATTTACAAAATGCAGAGAGATGAGTGCTTCCGAATTATTTACATACATTTCTTAAGCCTAGTGAATTTTTAAGAATACAATCAATTTCCAAAATAATTTTTTTAATTAAGTAACCAAAACAGAACTAAAACAAAATATGTTATTATAATAAATGTTGAAATTGACCTCCTTCTGCATCGATACATGCTGTCAGTCTCTTTATAAAGTTAAATCTGACTCTTTGGAATATGAATAGACTATTTCTTATTAAATTAAAGGTTTCTACAATTCGCAGTCTAAGTTGATCTTCTGTATCAACAGGGGTTGCATAAACTTGAGATTTCGCGTGTCCCCAAAGATAAAAATCGACAGGATTCAAGTCCGGTGATCGCGGTGGCCAGGCTATTGGTGCATTATATCCTCTTCCAATCCATCGATTAGGAAACCGCATATGTAGATACTCTCTAACATGAACACTGAAATGCGCAGGTGCCCCGTCATGGAGGTACCACATGTATTGTCTCAAATTTAAAGGAACATTTTCCATTAACTCAGGGAGATGGTTTTCTAGGAAGTTTAAATATTCTACTGCATCAAGCCTTTGAGGTAGAAAGAAAGGCCCGAGCAAATAGTCACCTATTATTCCAGCCCATACGTTGACTGAGAATCGGTGTTGGTGATGACTATCAATGGTAGCATGAGGATTTTCGTCTGACCATGCATGTGCATTGTGCAAGTTCAGTAAACCATCTCGTGTAAAGGTGGCTTCATCGGTAAATAAAATGGAGCTAATAAATTCCACATTATGTTGGTGATGGTTAAGTATTATTCGGCAGAATTCTAGGCGTCGGGGAAGATCTTCAGGCATTAAATGTTGCACTTTTTGGAGATGGTAGGCATAAAGGCCGTTTTCCTTCAAAACACGCCAAACTGACATTCTGGAAAGCTGTAACTGATTAGCTGCCCTTCGCACACTTTCTCCCGGATTTTGTTCAAAAGATCTCAAAATTTGTTCATCTTGCGCGGGTAGTCTTCTAGCAATTCTACCACAATGTATGTAACGGGGTACCACACTACCAGTTTCAATAATCCGTCTGTGAATCCGAGTAAATAATTGTGTAGACGGCTGACGTCTCTGCGGATAACGTTCTATGTATGTTCTTCGAGCAGCTGTTGCATTTCCATTACATAATCCATAAATAAAATGCATTTCGGCATATTCTTGATTAGTAAAACGATTGTTATCCGCCATTGTACTCACAAATTAATAATTCGTCAACAGACACGATTAAAATATGGTAACAAATGTCAACTATGTTAAAAGTGACAGGCGCCTACTTTTTGAATACGTCAAATTTAACACCTAGCGGTGAGTAAACTCCCTTTGCATTTTGTAAATTTATGAGAAAACTAATCATTTTACATAAAAAATGCAAGAGACAAAAAAATGTCTAAATTCAATGGTCTTTCTAAAAATTATGATATTTGCTGTATCTTTGCAGAAATTTTTTTTTTTGGCAAAAAATAGGATACAGGGTGATAAATCGACTGATATAAGGTTGCCCATACTACTTATCTATAACAGTTTTCTAGAAAAATAAGGTTCTTTTCTAAAAGTCCGAAATAGTAGCTATGTAACAGTGTCAAGAAGGCCTTGCAAAACCACTTTTCTCTCACATTTTATCAGGCTGGGACTGACAGTGTCAATTGTTTAAAAAGTGGTTTGACAAACAAAAGTAACCCACTAACAACAACTAAAACAAAACGCAAAACGAAATAAACTGAAACTCGGAACACAACAAGGAGAAGAATACCCCTGATTTACATCAATTGCTCGAAGTGTCCTTCATTTTGATTAATACACAAACGAATTCGGTTTTTAAAAGACTGTTCAACATTGGTCAGCATGTGTGGCATAATTTCTTGAAATGTTACTGTATTGCGCTGCCACATATCTTCCGCGTTAGTTGGTGGTGTAACGTAAACTTTGCTTTTTATAATTCCTCATAAAAAGAAGTCGCAACTTGTCATATCTGGACACCTTGAAGGCCAACTCAGTGGTCCCCCGCGCCCAATCCATCTACTGGGAAAAGTTTCGTGTAAAAACTGACGAACCGAAGCGGTATTGTGAGATGGAGTACCATCATTTTGCATCCACATTCTTCGAAGTGTAGCTAAAGGAATGTCGCCTAACAAAACTTCTAGAGTGTTTGTTAAAAAGTTTAAATAAACTGCTCCAGTTAGATACTGGTAAAAAAAGATGATCCAATGACATGGGTTCACAAAATTGCTCTCCACACGTTCAAATACCATCGTTGGCTTCTTAGCCAATAGTTGTCCGGAATTGGTGAGGATTTACTGTGTCATAATAATGGCAATTGTGACTATTAACGAAACCATTTTTATGAAAAGTAGCCTCATCGAAGAACATGATCAGTTTAAAAAAATCATCATCTTGATTTAACATCTCAAGTGCCCACTGATAAAACTCCAATCGCCGCTGAAAGTCTACTTTTAGTAACTCTTGGTGTAATTGTATGCGATAAGGATGTGATGTGCTGTGCTTTTGTAAAATCCTATGTATCGGCGTTGTACTAATACAATTGCAAGACCTTTTTGACGCTGTTACATAGCTACTTTTTCGGACTTTAGAAAAGAACCTGGTTTTTCTAGAAAATTGTTAGAGATTAGTATGGACAACCTTATATCAGTCGAAAGGGTAATTCTAATTGGAAAAAAAAGTTTTTCAACTCGTAAGAATATTAAATGTAGGTCTCAGTATTTCCGACTCTGAATAAGATACACGTTTTGTTCATATATGCATAGATATTTAAAAAAATCATAGGCGCAGACGTTACGCTTCACGAAAGGGGCCGATCCCATATCTACGGCGCTGGCAATAGGATAATTACTAGCATATTGTAGGTAAATAAGTACTAAGCACCCTGTAGATAGAGAAAAAATTGCAGGCTTTAAGGAAATAATAGATAGCCATAATAAAAGATTTTATTTGCAATAACAATAATTTATTACAGGATTAATACAAATAATTAACAAATACATCAGTTGTGTAACTGATTCAATACCTACAATACTCCTACAGTACCTGTTCAATAAAAAATATAAATTGTGTTAAATGTAATGTATAAGATCTTTTTACAAAGAATGATGCAAACATGGTTTTCCCAGTCATAACATACGAATTAACTGCAAAGGAAGTTTTTCAAATATGAACTATTTCTATNCCTTTTTGACGCTGTTACATAGCTACTTTTTCGGACTTTAGAAAAGAACCTGGTTTTTCTAGAAAATTGTTAGAGATTAGTATGGACAACCTTATATCAGTCGAAAGGGTAATTCTAATTGGAAAAAAAAGTTTTTCAACTCGTAAGAATATTAAATGTAGGTCTCAGTATTTCCGACTCTGAATAAGATACACGTTTTGTTCATATATGCATAGATATTTAAAAAAATCATAGGCGCAGACGTTACGCTTCACGAAAGGGGCCGATCCCATATCTACGGCGCTGGCAATAGGATAATTACTAGCATATTGTAGGTAAATAAGTACTAAGCACCCTGTAGATAGAGAAAAAATTGCAGGCTTTAAGGAAATAATAGATAGCCATAATAAAAGATTTTATTTGCAATAACAATAATTTATTACAGGATTAATACAAATAATTAACAAATACATCAGTTGTGTAACTGATTCAATACCTACAATACTCCTACAGTACCTGTTCAATAAAAAATATAAATTGTGTTAAATGTAATGTATAAGATCTTTTTACAAAGAATGATGCAAACATGGTTTTCCCAGTCATAACATACGAATTAACTGCAAAGGAAGTTTTTCAAATATGAACTATTTCTATAAATTTTCAAAATATTTTTAATTTAAAATGCAAATGGAAAAACCGCTGATAATTTTATTTAATCTGTCTGAACAATTGAAAATCGTCAACAGGGGAATTTCCTGAATATTCTATTTCATATTTCCAAATTTGGTAGATTTCGGAACGACCGCAAAAAGTATGACAAAATCTGCTAAAATAAATAGAAATGATAAATACATGTTTGAAAATATATGTGGATTTAAAAAACTTTTTTACATTTTTCTGCGACATGTAACGAAATTTATTTTCAAAGAAATAAACATTTTATACCAAGCTTTCTTCATTCTTTATTATTAATTCTTATGTAAAATAGGATGTACGTAATATCTTTTGTTGGAACACCCCGATTATTATTCGCAGAAAAATAAATTGGACCTTA